TTCCCCCTCTTTCAAGCTTAAAGTGGTTATAATAGTGTTCAAGTGACATCAGCTTTTGCAGCTGGTTGGAAGACAATTAAATGTGGACTGGAGGGGGGAATGTTTGGACTAAAGGAGCAGGGGGTAACAGAGGAATTTGCCCTCTGACAACCTCCTTCTGTAACCTCATCATAAACCTTATTAGCCATGGCTACACACGATAGTGTCACATCAGCAAGTTCCAGCACTCTGCATCACCCCTAATTTCTCAACCCCACATAAAATAGTGGTTTCACTCTGGCAATTGTGGTGTGGTGAGAGATTTTTTTTTGTAGAAAGTCTTCTGATTGGGCTTCAAATGAGACAAACCCAGTCCTCGGTTACAGTGAAGCTGTTGTTTACGCATTCCTCACTTGCAGCCAAAATCACTTACAGTAGTTTAATTAATGCTTAATTGTCTGCTGGGGGGTTGGAGGTCATTAGTGGCTGCTGTTTGGCAGCTGGTGTGGTTGACTGTGCTAGACATGGCAAAGCTGCTAATGCTTTTCATCCTCCTTCTCCACCACTAGGTCATTGCTCAAGTCTCTGTTGTGAAATGGGTTTGCTATTTGTCCATAGCAACATGAAACCAACAAATGAGCAACTGAAAATTGGTTTAATTCTCCAGTAGCCAAAACAAGATTAAAATCGGTCATGGCTTTCAGATGCATCCTGAGCTTTGCCTGCTGTGATCCTCATTAAACCTGTGATGGTGCTGCTTTTAATCCCTCTGTTAACAGTCTCACTTTGGCCAAAGTTGCCTGGACACAACCTGATGAGTCTGTCCTTCATCTGAACAGCTGAGGAACGTCGCCCCCCTGCCAATTACATACATTTGCATACCCATCCCAAGAGACGGCCATACACTCCACCTCCTTTCACAAAGGAATTTGTAAGCAGCACTCAGCCGACTGCAGTCACAGCTTCATTAAATGCTAATGAAACTAAAGCTTTACCTTTTGAGCACACATCTAGCAGATAAGGTGAAGGGCGGGGAAATGCTAGCTCAGACTGATCCTCGCCAGATAAAGACCCATTAAATGCTAATTCTTCCTCATTTACGGTACTTTCAGATTACTATCAATCTGTGTTTGTGTGTGTGCGTCTGCACATCTGCGTGTATCTGTACAAGGTAGTGAAAACTCGCATAAGCTGCCAACTTGCTGATTAAAGCATGATCTGCTTGTTATGTTATTTCCTGTATTTTTTTTCCCTTTGAAAAGCTGCCACAGCAGAGTACGGCTGGACCCCGTTCAAATCTGATTCAACAAAAGATGCTGTGGCTTCCAATTTCCTTGGCCTTCATAGTGTATACATGTTCCTGCATGTATTGCACACGCATGATTATTTCTAAGAGGTTATTACATCTGATCTCAATGGTCGATCTCTGTTCTCCTGTCTGCTCTGCAACTTTTACAGCTGTGTTCAGCACAGGTAATCATTCTTTACCCTTTTCCCACCAAAATTAGGTCCCGTTTATACGACAACGATTTCAACTGAAAACGGTAAACTTTAGTTGCGTTTTGGCCGATCGTTTACATGACAGCAGTGTTTTGGGTGCCTGAAAATGCAACGTTTTGTTAACGGGTTCCAGAGTGCAATTTTTTGGAAACGGCACCGTCTCAGTTGTCATGAAAACTTGCAATATGCAGTTCCTCTGAAAACAGGGACTTTTCGCACATGTGCATTACGGTTCCATTCACTAGGCATGCACGAGAAAGTCGACCCTCACAACAACAATGGCGGACTCCCGAGCTGTTTGTGCGGCTCACCTTGTTGAATTTTTCAACACTTCCCCATCATAGTCTAGATTTACTGTAGCAACGCCACCTCGTCATCCATCCAGACAAACGTTTGTGTGGTTTCCTTTTTGTTTGTTTATACATCGCTGCTCTGTAGAAGGAAGCGTAAGCGTCACACCGCCAACTACTGACCTGGCATGTATACTGCAGCGTTTTTGGTCATTCTGGCAGATCCGTGGATCCGTGTGCATGGTGATCGTTATCAAAACGTTGTCCTCTAAACGCAGAACTTTTTTCAAAACGGAAATGAGAAACGATTCTGTTTTCAGTGGATCGTTTTCGTGTAAACATGGCCTTAGTGTGTGTATACAAGTCTTTTTAAACACTGGAAAACCAGACCAGGGCCGTAGGTAGACAAGTGTGCCTTTCTGTTCTCTTTTTCTTCCGAGTCATGTTCAGCATCACAGGTGTAAACAGTAGAAAGCAGCATGGAGGCCGGTGAAGATGTTATGGTGGTTACTTCTTTTTTATATCTGTTACTTATTCAGTTGCTCTCAAACTCTGTGCCAACAAATTTTGAACAGTGTGCGAGCCCTGCTTGGACAAAGATGGACAGTATTTCATGGTGGCGTGTTACTGTATCGTGTTGGAAAAGGAGCGAAAATTAGCGCGTCTATCTGGGTGCTGTATTTTCATCCCTACCAATCAGAGCTGGATATGATGAATATCCGTTACTACTGCAGAGTGATTTGTTCCAGGAGTAATTTTTCCCATTGAACAGAAATGCCTCATGTTTGCGGCTGTTAGTCAAGCCCCCTTGAAGTGTGCTGGTCTTTGAAGCCAATTTTCATAGTGGCCAGACAGTGGAACTACAACATCCAGGTCCGTCATGTGATGCCATTGGCCCCAAAAAGACTTTTCCCCGTAGACTTACATTGTGAAAGAGAGGTTTGTAAATCGGTGGATAATTTTTTTGAGCACCACAACCAGAAAATGACTTGTTTCACTACAAGGACTTGATCCATTCAGTGCAATACCATTTCGAAAGTCTGGAAGAGACACAAGATTAAATCATTTTATCCCCATAGGCCTATAAGTCAGTGGAGGGCTAAACCAGGAGTTAGTCGCTTGGCCGGTGGAGGTTAGCCTTCAGGCTCGTGAAGTTTGTAGTGCACTCATTCTTTGGGCCCAACAATATGGAAGATCCAGGTAATTTTATAACCAGAAGTCGAACTTTCCCAGGCCCAGGCCCAGAGGAAAGCAGCTCAGCCTTACTTCCAGTATTCCCCAGTGGCCACTCATGGTATTGCAGCAAAAATCCCCCACGGCCCAAAAAGCATTTTCACCATAGACAACCAATCTAAAAGAGAGCGATTTAAAAATCTGACATCATCACAACATAAAGTCTATAAACCGAAGGGGAACTCACAGGCGGAGCCAGTGGGATAACAACTACTGTACATATTCAGTCATCTTGGGATCCTGTATCTAAGTATTATTATACATCTATGATGGGGCCCTGCCTCCAGTGCTGTATCCAGTTGTCCTTATACATGCCTGCCGTTAAAGGGGTTTTTTATGCAGTGGAAAAGGAGCTTGACAGTGAATCTTTTAGAGTTTTTTTTTACAGATATTAATTGCTCGCAGGTGACAGGAGCGTTGACTTGTACATGTACTCGTCTGCTGTGTTTATATTAACAGAGTGTGGTCTGCACGTGGTAAATATTTACTGACTGCTTGCATATCTGTGTGTACGTTCTGAGTCAGTGAGAGGGAGATCCTCAGCTGTCTCATCGTGAGAATCTCTGACCAGGAAGCCTGTCTGTGATTTAGATTACTGTACAGGTGGAGCTCTGCTGCTCTACAGGGATATTCCTGTGTCTGCATATGTGGTCAGAAACTGTTTCTTGCACTCCAAGTCGGACCGGTTTGTTTCTTTTTCTTTCTTCCAACACAAACCGGGAGTTTCTGTTCCACATTTAGACCTGGCATTGCACTGTATCTCCTCTGAGGTATGAAGACCACAGTAATGGTGTGACACTAAACTCAAAACTTCTGCTCTGTGACCTTCACTTTGTTCTCCCACTGTTGTGTGTTTTCAAAACCAGAGATGCTGAAATGATTTGAATGCTTTGTGCGACCACCAACGCACTCTGGCCCACTTCAGTTCGATTTTTTCCACAAGCCATTCCATAACTTTTGTCATCTGAGGTTACAGATCGGTTCAGTGGGATTAATTATCTTGGATTACATGGGATATTGCAAAGGTTTAACTGCTTTTTGACTCATGCTGGCTCTCCCGCCTTCCTCTGGACCCTGCTGAGTAGTTACCCTTGGGGGCAGGATGCTAAGTCTAACCAAAATGTAAACGTTCATGCACTAGTTGAAGATCTGGGGCAGGAAAGGGTGGCTCTTCCTGTTTTGGAGCCCCCTAGACACCGTCTGGTCTCAGTGGTCCCATGCCTGCTTTACCCACATCAATGCCAGCAACTGTCTGTGATGCTTGTCGGGTCAAGTGGGTCCAGGATGAGGTAATGGCTAAGCAGTCCACTTAAGACACATTATCTACCGGGGGATCGCTTTTCCAACTTTACCAAGCTCAAATCTTTGTTTTCTCCATTAACGTGTCATCGCTCCTCTCTTCTCCTTCTCTTTCATCTCTGAAGGCTCACCTGTAACCTCATTGACTCTCTCTGTGTCAGTTGAAGTGGTCGGCTGCCCTTCCTGTAGTCGTACAGTGTAGCTCCAAGGACATGGAAGTTTAGTGCCACAGCTGAAGAAACAAGAGTGTGACTCCACTTAGCCTGTCTGCTTTTTTTGTTTTCTTATTGAATCTGCCCCACAGGGATGCATGTGTGACCATGTGAGTGTTTCTCCTTGTGTGTCTCTGACTGCACAAGTGGAGCGAATGCATCTGTGAGCATCACATGTGCACATGTCATAGTAGCAGTTCCCCCTGGTTGTATGGGATTATGCAAAACCGTGCTGCAACCTGTTAAAATGTTTTGCTTGTGAGTCAGAATGCAGCTCGCTAAGCGGTAAAATGTGCGTACTGCATCATGTTTAAAGCTGTCAAGTGGGAGGTCTGGAATGCAATTTTTAATTGAGGCCAGGCTAAGAGCTACAGACCTTAGCAATGGTTCGGTAAGGAAATGCAGGTTCATATGGATCCTGTGGTTTGGTTAACATGTAACACTTCATTTACAGCAAGTCGTCTCTCTCTCTGTCTCCTGTTTGCAGTGCGAGCGTGGTGGTGGGAGCTCCCAAGGCCAGCACAAGGCAGGTTAACATTAGAGAGGGAGGATCTGTCTTCTACTGTCCGTGGAGCCTCAGCCAATCAGACTGTCACACCATTGAGTTTGATACTGAAGGTAAGCATAATAGAACAGTTCTGAAGGTCTGACAGCTGTACTGTCAACTTATGCTGGCACTGGGTGGCTTTACTGTCGCTGACAATGTTCCTAAGTTGGATAGAATCAAGAGAGCGCTCATGTGATTTAGATCATTTGGTGTAATGTCATCAAAAACCTGTCTTAAGTCAGTCTTTTTCTAATGTTGAAGTTACCATAAGATGAAGAAGATATACTTACAGGACCTATACATGCATTAAATGGAGAGATGTCAGAGCGAGGAGGGTGACCTTGCACAGGTGCCCTGAGCAGTTGGAGGTTCAGTGCCTTGCTCAAGGGCCTCAGCAGTGCCCAGAAGGTGAATTGGCACCTCTCCAGCTACCTGTCCTCGCTCCATACTTGGTCTGTATGGGGACTTCAACCAATGACCCTCCGGTTCCCAGCCTAAGTCCCTATGGACTGAGCTACTGCCACCCCAGTAGCTCATAAACTTAAACATGTAATATTATTGTAAGAAAATTTTTGGCTCATGCAAATAGTGAAGTTCAATGACGTAAACATTATCAACAACCAATAGATAAACATATAGGGGATTCTAGGGAGGTGCAGGAACATGAGCACGTCTTGGTTCTCTTGAAAAAGGAGGAGAAAGTGTTGGAGTTGGGGACTGAACTTAAGTTAGTGTTTAATTTGGTGTGCATGTTATCCACCACCCAGCACTTATTTTAGTGAGAAATCTTAGTTTTTGAATCTGTTTGCTTCCCATTTCCACGCTCTCCTACCACTAAAATAGCACAGCTCACCAATGGAGACTGGTAGCGCATTGAAGCAACAAAATCCAAAGTATATAAAGTTTACACACAAATACAGTTTATCTTTGGGGATTATATTGATGCCGAATTGAAAAGGCTACTATTAACCTATTGCTGCCTTTTATCTTGTGTTTCTAGATTTATGTGTTTTTGCAGAAATGTAAGTAATTATTAATATGTCATACTTCTTAAAGGGAGTTTGGTGTAATGATTTCCATCAGGAGCAGGATCTAGGAATCTAGTTGTACTTTTCAAGATCCCCAGTCTTTGCAAAAATTTATGGTGTGACTAAAAACACACTGTCTTAAGATGTGAGAAAGTGTCAGACTTTAGTCTTTTGAAAGTATTTTCAAAGTCTTTTCAAAGTTTTCTAGTGCGTGTTAGTCAGCTTTTTTGGTTGGACGACAAAAGCTGTCCTAACTTCATGATTTGTCATGCATTGATTACATGTGATTCCCCGGGTATTGGAGAGTTTGATAACCTGGGGACGTTCCTTAAACTCTCTTAGCTGAGCATTGATGCTTCTCTGTGCACTTTTGAAGCAGTCAGAGCATTTCCTCTCTGCTCCTGTTGTCAGCAGCAGGTCAGGATCATGCGTCAGGCGTCAGCGTTCCACTTAACTGAACTGTTGTTGGCTACGTTGGTTCCTGGATGCAGGATGATCTTTTTTTCCTGTCTGTGTCGTCTCTTTGGGGATGAAAAGGATAATTGGGTGTTGAAGAGGTTTTTGAAGGATACTCCTTCCTTCCTCTGGGCTGTGTTTGTGTTGCCTTGCTGCAGGAGCTATAAGGAGATAAGCAACCAATAAACAAACAGATCCAACAAAGAAATGTCCTGTTTTGTTTGACAGGTGAAGCAGACACCGCCGGTCTTGACAAAAAGGCTCCAGTTAAGTCAGAGTCAGATAAAGTGGTTTTGGGGAACACAAGGAAGTCCGGGAGGTTTTCTAATGAATGGATTCATGTTTCAGTGCATTGTCAGAGTAGCTATTAGCCTGTTGTGCACAAGGGAGGTGAGGAAAGGAACAATCAAAGTAAAAAAACACGGCTAGCTTTTAGACTGAACATGACCTGAAAACACATCCTCACACACACACACACAAACAGTATGAATCACACGTATAGAGGGACATTTACCGCGGTGCTTTTGGCTTCTTTCCTATGAAATCAAAGCTTAGCATAGTGGGCCAGCTTAAATTTACTGTCCATAGTGCACAATAGGGAGAAATATTCCTCTGAGTGTTTCACAAGCCTGGTTTAACAACATTCTTTTATTGGACACCGCTGCTTGGTACCCTTTGCTCCACTATTTTTGCACTGTTTTTCTTGCAACATGAAATGTGTTGCGCATCCATGGCCGTTGGCTGGAGGCCACAGCAAGTGATGTCATGTGCGAGCAGCGAGGCCTCACGGTGAAGGTTGGTCCCCCGGGCTGTCAGAGAGTGTCCTTCATATTTTTTAAGGGCCTTTGAAGGAGCTGATCAGAGTGCCAGAGCCAGTTCAGACATCTGGATTGCGGCACAGCTATCGTACAGTGGAGGAACACTCAATACATGGACATGTGCATGCAAATGTGGCTTTGCCAAACAGCTGTTGCGTGGATGACATTTACTGCTGCAATTCATTTACTGTAGCTGTCACTGTTTTCTTTGCTAAATCTGATAGTAAATGCTCAAGCAATAAAAAAAGCCACTTTTTCTTCAGTATGAAATCTTGGGTAAAAGAGTGATATCTTCCACTAGGGTACTGGTACCCATATTCCTATAACAAAGTGATGTCATATGTCTCACTGTCTCTTGGGCTGCTTCCACACTAATATACTCTCATTTTGAAACACATAACTTTTGCCACACTTACGCCTCTGTCCACACTTTGGCATACTGAAACCCATAAAATGGAGACTTTTTAAAACAGTGCTGACCCCATTTTAGTTTGAAAACTCCACAGTTGTATTTTAGTCTGGACGGACAGGAATAGAATTTTGAAAACGATGATGCAGCCACCCACATTTGTCTCACGACTGAGTCCTATCAGTCATGACTTGTCAAACCAAAGGTCTACACACCTTTTGTGTTTTCATCCTGCTTGTTCTCCTTTTCCAATGCCATGGCTATCTGCAGCAATGAATAATGCTCTCCTCTAATAAATCCCTGTATTTGCAAAGCAAAGCAAATCTACATTTTCTGCAGACTTGACTGCCTTAGTAACAGTTTCAGCTCATTGTCAGTCAAAGTAAAGAAATCACTGGATGTACTTTTTGCCATTGCTGCTCTGTCTCTGTTGTAGTTTCCTTAACTAAGCAACAAATTGTTGAGTAGAGCTGTTGCTGTGAAGGAATTTCCCCTGCTGTGATTAACAGTGGCTCAGCGGCATGACATGCAGTATTACCATTTTTAGTGTTTTCATCATTTATTTTGATTTTAGGGCCTCTTAAATGAGTTTTATTGTTTGGCTATAATTAGGTAGATTGTTGCTTGTTAAATGACAAAGATAGCACAGTTTTAAAACAAATTAAATACTTGTACGGTGTTAAATGCAGAACACAGAAGGGCAATGAGTCACGGTAAAAGGCACAGTATTTTTTTCAGCGGAGACATCTCAGTTGCACCAGGTTGCTATGATACATAATATCTGAGGAAGTAAAAATCTTAGCACAAGGTTGAGCATTTGCTCTGGATGAAGGGAAGGTTGAAGTAAATTGGGAGAGAGGTCGGACCCACAAGTCTGTTGGGTTCATTATCCATTTCTCCTCTACTGTTGTTGTTGTTCAGCAATAAGACTGTTGGTCTTAGTGGTATTTGTCCTGTCCCTCCTCCACTGTGATTGGACAGCTCAGTAAAGACTGCCAATGATGTGGCACTCTAGTGTTCTACCTAAAGTTGAATTGTTTCTAAACTCTGGGCGACCAGGAAATAACGGCAAATGTGCAGCGCTCAGCACAGAATAGATGCACAGCCACTCGTCATGCAGCTAGCATTTGTAGCATACAGTAAATACACAGTACTGCCATGAAAACAAACAACAACAACATGAATGTAGGAGTTGTTGCAGTTGCTTGCCATCACCTTTGGTTGACATTTCAGTTGCACAGTATTGCAATTTTGTGGTTATCGTGACAGCCCTACCACAGAGTAGACAATCTGCTTCCTGTTCACACTGGCACGAACATGTCCGGTGCACATGAATGGTCATGTGATAAATTTGTTAGTATGGACAGAGATTAAACCTGAAACAGAGCTACAACACTCCAGTGTACTAAGATCTTTTTCAATTTATAATGCCACTTAAAAACAGAGGTATTAGTGTGGATGTAGCTTCACTGTCTGTTGGTGTGTTTGAGCTCTGACCTACAGGCCGTAGCCTCTCTTAATTAGCCTAACTAATTGGGTCAAAGTGGCCAGAGGCTCCCTCCCATCCACTTCCTCTTCCATTGAGATAAGAGCTGAGAAGGGGGGCGAGGGGAGCGAGGGCAGTAGGGACGGTGTGAGAAGGGCACATACAGGAAGGGAGGAAGGGAGGGAGGGAGGGAGGGTATGAAGGCCAGAGGGGAAGGAGGAAAGAGGGAGAAACCAGAGCTCTGTTCCTCCGCTCTGTCCCCCTCTGTTCTCCTGCTGCCGGTTCTCCCACAGGGGCAGCTGATGTGATGAGTGAATTTGGCCATTTGTCTTCGACCCCACTGACACACACAAAAATACACACACACACACACACACAAAATGAGAGGCTCTAACCCCACTAATGGCTGTCGACACACACACACAGTTCAAAGGCGAGAGTGAGTCTATGGACGATCTCCAGACCCCCACACTGCTCTGATGGTCCCGGGAGAGACCAGGCCGGGCACCATGTCACATCAGCACACTGCTCTAACCAGCCTCCCATGGGGGTTTCTTCGGTCAAATGTTGTTGTGTGCCTTCTCTGGGTTTCCCTCTGTCCCCCCTCTGTTTTCATGGAAAGCATTTCACGTGACTCCAGCTGGCTGCCTTCAGCTGCTCGCAGACAACAAACACGACTTTTCATCACCCGTCATACTGACACAGAACTAATACTAGAACGAATGCTGCCATGTGAGAACTTGAGCTTCTTTAGGCGGGTACGCTGATGTGCTTCCTCTCTTTTACATGGCGAGATCACAGTTATGCAGTATGAATTACAAGAGGACTTTCTGCAGGTTGCCTTGGTAACATGACTCAAACACAGTCGCCCTGCAGCTCCGACCTCTCCCTGGTGGCTTTGCATTGGCCTTATCCAAACAAAGACCTCTGAGTTATGAAAATATTAAGGAGGTATACCCTTTAAGAAAAAGCACCATGCAGTTATGGCAGATTAGTTAAAGTAACATGCTCATAAGGAGCCGTTTGAAGTGCTGGTCATGTTATTAACTGTATGGCTGAAGCACTTCTTTTCACAGTGGCTACTAAATTCTCTGGGTGCAGGGCCCGCTGCTGTAGGCCTGTGATGAATAACGTTAGCAGGAAACCCCAGATGGAGATTAAGCAGAAATACAGTCTGGTTATTAAAAAACTATAATCTCTCTGCTTACTGTCTGGGGTGAGGGGGAGCAGCACTCCCTGAAAGCACGGAGAGAAAGGGCCATGTAGACGTGGAGACTATGGCGAGAAAGTGCAAGAAAAATGAATAGGAAGATAGAGATAATACTGAAAATGAAAACAGGGGAAGGGGGAGAGAAGTGTATGCCTAAACAGAGATGACTGTGAGGTTGCTATGAGGAAGCCGGGCCAGAGTGTGTATGTTTTCCTTGGACCCTGGCCCCTTCGCTGTTTCCACAAAGACACGGAGCAACTCCAGGCTGCCTAGTTGGCTGGGAGGGAAGACCAGGGGCGGACAGTCATGGAGAGAGAGGCCTGACACACAGCCTGCTTTCTTCACATCCACATAGGTCGTGATCTCTTGCAGTATCTACTAATCCTCAGCCCCTGTTATCAGTCTCTGCTCTGCTGTTTTTGCAGTTGACAGAATCACCACGATGCTGTGCAAACACTTACGAATAGACAGGCAATTGGCAATTTGGTCAGGGACACTTTTGTCAAAGAAAACTTTATTTCCATTTGCAGAATTGCATTTGGCGGTATGGCTCTGTTCTGGGCCCCTCTGCCTTTCCTCGAGCCTATACAGAAAGCCTCTTCCATGCACCTACGTGGAAAGCCTAAGGCTGAGAGAGCACACCTTGCCGCCCTTCCACGTGCCTGCGTTGAAAGCCATAAGGCAGAGAGAACACACTTGTCTGCCCCTTCATGTGCAAATAAGGAAAGCCTTAGGCAGAGAGGTAAACCTCCCTGCCCTTCCATGTGCCTACATGGAAAGGCTAAGGCAGGGAGAGCAGCAGCAATGACATTGATGAGTCAGACACAGCATGAAAAGGAGGAGCTGGGGTGGAGGCAGGTTGCAAAGCAGCTTGCAGAGGAAGCAGCGGCAGTAGGCAGGCCAGAGCAGTTTAAATAGGGCGCCCTGAATGAGATTCAATTGGTTGCATAGAAAGGAATCATATGATCTATCAGCTGACTCCCTTCCATCAATCAGCTGCTCCATCAGTTGTTTGGCTGTTGTTCAATTTGTTTTGAAATGCAGAGATATGTGCAAAAGGCAAACTTGTTTATTTCTGTTGTCATTTTCAGCTGCAACTGTAACTTTTAAAGATATATAGTTAACATAGTGGTTTGACCTATCTGAAGTTTCTGCTGTGCTTATTTTATTTTTTGTTCCTTTGCTAGCATCTTTCATAAACCAAATCTATGGCACAGAAGTTGAGCAATGTACTGCTGTGGATGGGGCTGCAGCAAAACATACTTTAGCCACCTAAGAGATCAATATCAGTTCAAGTGTATGCTACATTTGGAAAATTTTCACTGCTTTATCTCACACACTAACTGATCAAGGCAGCGGCAGACCAGCATATCCAGTCTGATTATTAATGAGTCTAGAGGCTTTGAGATAACGGTTTCAGTTCCCCATCTGAAAGGACTGTATGATGGCAAAGTAAAGCTGTGAAAATATTCTGTTCTACCCAGAAGTTACTGTAAAAAAACATTGTGATTCAGTCTATATGCCTGTGGTTTGACAAAGTCTACAGGAGAAATGAGTCTGAGGTCTGCAAAGGGTTAAGTAGGAGTGGTTCGGTTGCTCTTGACCTCACATTTGCACTTCCCTTATAGATGTCAGCTCATACTATAAGAGCCAGCCCTCGTGTATGAACTGATAGTGGTGCGACTTCCTTGTCTAATCAATTTGTTAGGATTTCATTCTCCATTGCAGCACAGATGTAACATCTGTCTTCCAATAAAGTTGTGTTTAAACCTGACTCCCCGGACCATCTGTCATGTCACCTGCTGCTGTCAAAGCGATGAAGTGGGAGATCAGCATTAGTGGCCAGGTGGTCAAACAGAGCGAAGGGTCAGCGGGGTTAAGCCAGGTCCAAACCCGGCCGGGCTAAGAGAGCTATTATCATGTGATCAGTGGCCGAGCAGCAAATACCATACTTTTCAAATTCTCACCCTGATTGTCTTTGCATGAAAAATAGTGCAACTGGAGTCCTAAAGCCTGCTTTCTGCCAACTGTCCAGATGTTTCCGAGGGCCTGGAAGGGGAAGGCAGAATTAAGATATTCAACTCCATGCAAGGAGACCCAATTGAAGGAATGCATGTTTTGTCATAGAGCTTTTACTCAGTGTTATTTTCTTGTGTTTCTCAGGGGATCGCAAGGTCCTGCTCAACGACACAGAACATCAGGTCGATTTCAAGTCCCACCAATGGTTCGGAGCCACTGTGCGTTCTCACGGTGACACAATTCTGGTAAGGTGACACTCTCAGGGATGATTTTGGGGGTTGGGAAGAAATGGACTAGAATTTCAGCTCAGCGCCACACCACTGGTGCTCTTTGCTGTTATGATTGGGGCTTTCAGTGAAGCCAACTCTGGCCACTGGGCTGTGAGAACCTCTGAGTGATGTCTCTCTCTGATGTCAGGGGGGGATGTGTATGTTCTTTGTTAGAAATTTGTCTCACAGATTACTGTCCATTAAGTTGTTGTCATTCAGGTCCAGTTCTCACCTCCAGTCTCGAGACACCATAAAGAAATGTTTTGTGCCTCCCCCCGTGACATCAAAGTTGAGCCGCCTCTTGTTTGGTCTGATAGTCCGGGTTGTGACCTGGGTTGAGTTACGTGGTTACCCTGCTCCAGATGTACTGCTGACCTTAGCCTGGGTCTCCCCCGGAGTTCACCAGTGTGATGTTGCAACTGGAAAAACATCTCCCACCTAAAAGTTCACCCCATTCATCACCACATCTCCTCCCTCCCCTTCCCCCCACCCACCAATCCCCATCACTCTCCACCTCCTCTCTACCCAGGCCTGCGCCCCTCTCTACTCCTGGCGTACTGAAAAAGATGTTCCCCGTTCTGATGCAACAGGAACCTGCTACCTCTCAGTGCATAATTTCACCAAGTTTGTGGAGTATGCACCCTGCCGCACAGGTAACTGACACCTCTCTTCAGATCTTCATTGACGTTTGCAGTGGTTGTTTGTTTGTCACGTAGGGTATCTCAAAGGGGACATGTTCCAGCAGGAATATGATCCCCAAATCTCGGAGAAATTAACAACAGCGGCAACCAAGATTGCTGATCCTGATGTTACCTTGTAGCTTCATGTACATCAGCAGTGTACTTTCGGCTGAGAAATGACTTAAATTTAGAGGCTTTTTCTGCTGTTAAAAATCACCAATAAAAGCCTCTAAACACAACCAGACCTTTTCAACAGGAATATGATCTGAAATCAGGGAGAAATAAACAATATCAGCAAACCAAGGCTACATGTTTCCCCGATGTTAGCATGTAGCTACATGCAATAGTGTAGGCTACATTCAGCTGGAGAATGACTGTAAAGCAGCACTTTCTCCTGTTAAAAATCTACTATTTAAACCTCTAAACCCAACCAGACATGTTCCAGCAAGAATATGATCCGAAATCTTAGAGAAAATACAACTTCAGCGACCAAGTTTTCATGTTTCCCTGAGGTTAGCATGTAGCTTTTTACAGAACTGTACTCGAAACAGGGGAATGACTATATAGAGTCACTTTCTCCGGGTAAAAATCCCCAATAAAAGCTTCTAAACACTGCTGGACATGTTCCAGCAGGAATATGATTCAAAATCTTGGAGAACTAATCAACACAAGCAAGATTGTTTCCCTGATGTTAGCTTGTAGCTTCATGTATGTTAGCAGTGTACTTGCAGCTGGGAAATTACTTTAATACAGGCTCTTTTCACTGTTAACAACCACCGATTAAAGCTTCTAAACACAACCAGACCTATTGAACAGGAATATGATCAGTTATTGAGGAGAAATTAACAACATTAGCCACCAAGATTACATGTTTCCCTGATGTTAGCATGTAGCTTCATACAGCCGGGGAATGACTGTGTATAGTGTCACTTTCTCCCAGTAAAAATCACCAATAAAAGCTTCTAAACAAAACTGGACATGTCCCAGCAGGAATATGATCCTAAATTGGCTACAAATTAACAATACTAGCAAACAAGGTTACATGTTTCCCTGATGTTAGCATGTAGCTACATGTATCAGTGTAGGCTAACTGCTACTTTCAGTAGTAAGCCTGGAGCAAATCCATCACAAGCTTACATCAGCTTGGAGCCAAAGTAGAAAACAACACTGGCATCAGGAGTATTCATAACAGTCTGCAGCCTGAGGTTTTTGCTCACTGGGGTTATTTTACATATGTTTACCTCATTATTTGAAACCTTGGCTGCGTTTAATATGAGTATCCAACATCATAACATTATATATTAAACAGAAAAAGCATAGGTCACCTTTAATAAGACAGCTGCCCTCCTTCTGGGTGGTAAATAAGGAAACCTGTCTTTGCTGATGTAGTCGTGCCTCAAAAGCAGAAGCTCTTGAATATTATTACAATAATTCATGATGCTCCACTTCTGTGTGTTTCAGAGATCAGTGATCCGGTGGGACAAGGCTACTGTCAGGGAGGATTCAGCGCTGACTTCACAACGGTAATAACTATGTTCCTGTTAGTGAACAACCTGGATAATCTTTCCTTTTTCATTGTAGTAATTCACAGGTTTTATCTTTCAGGATGGCAAAGTGGTGTTGGGAGGGCCAGGCAGCTACTATTGGCAAGGTATGTTGGACATACCGATCAACCACGCGAAAATTTAGAAAAACCAAGCCTCAAAGTTATTTTCTATTTCTCCTCGTCGTACTTTAGGTCAGGTGATCTCTGCAGCGAAGGAGGAAATTATCAAAGCGTACTACCCGGGCTATTTTATGCAGTCTGTGGGCGGCCAGATCCAAACCAAACAGGTCGAGTCTAAACATGATGACAGCTACCAAGGTAAGAGAGGCTTCTATGATTCTGGTTGTTTTAACGATGGCTGCACACTCACACATAACTTGCCATGCCAGCTGAGGCTCATATCTGTCCTCTTGTCTGCAGGCTACTCTGTTGCTGTTGGGGAATTCAGTGGCGATCAAGTGGAAGGTAAGTCAATAAAATAGGGTATGCATGCACACGGCCAAAGTTAGGTGAAGCGTACAAGAGAAAAAACACATAATAGCAAGGCAAATATTTAAACTGAAGTGAACATAAACTGAAGTCAGCTACAATATTTTACATGATTATTGAGCTGGAAACGTTGTCAGCACTGGAATTCTCTTACCCTCCTGCTGGGCTTGACCTGTATATTTTCCCTTCTAAATCTTTGCTTCATCTCTCTGTGCACCTCCAGATTTTGTGGCCGGTGTTCCAAAAGGACTCATGCTTTATGGTTCGGTAAGAAAGCTTAATCATCACTCTCATTTTGGCACTCACTTTGGTGCTTTTAGAGCGAGAGGCCTGGGCCTTAGATTTGGGACAGATACAGGAAAGTCAAAGAAAGAAAATAGCCCCAGAGATGTTGTCACAGTGGGAATTATTTTTGCAGTGAATTCCATACTAGAGATAGTGCTTACATTATAAAAAAGATGTTCACCATATGCGGCTGCTGTGTTGCAGGTGTCTGTTCTGAACGGTACAGATCTGAAGACCATGATCAACTACACTGGCGAGCAGGTGAGTCGGAGAGCTCCAGCCTCTACAGAAAGTTCCTTCACGCTCCACTTCCTCTCTGTTTTCATTACTCAGCTCCTCATGAGAGCTCTTAATTTGTTGAGTAAGTGTAAGCAAAAAAATAATTTCCTTTACAACTCTCTCTTAACTAGATTTTGGTCTCTTTCGTGGTTTGCTGTAAAGTTCAGTTATTGAGGCGAAAGTGCAGTGGCAATTTGTGCAAAATGGTTCTGGGAATAGAAAAGCACTGAGCTCATTTAAACAGTGATGATTGACTCAGCTGAATAAATAAAATCACAAGTGAATTTGCTTACACTCTGGCAATTTAGCCTCCTCCTACGATGTCTGTGCTTTTTAGACTCGAGGGTCATGACAGACAATTCAGAAAATGAAACCGAGCTGGAACAGAATCAGCACCAAACTGGGCCTTAACTGTGAAACCCATCAAGCCCTCATGTTTCCTTCAAGACTCCTTTTTTTCTAGTTATGCAGAAAGCAAGGAAATTTGTAGTAGCATGACTATTTTGTATTATCAAGGAACAAATCTTGATTATATTAATGCCTTTAAATAATGACGTTTTCATTGGCCAAATTAATGGAAAATCTTTGCTTCACAGATGGGATCATATTTTGGCTACGCCGTGGCATCGACTGACATCAACAGTGATGGGTGAGTAGCCTCGTCCCTGTCTGTTTTTCCTCATCCTCCCTGTCTTCCTCCGTCTCTTCTTGCCAGGTAATTAGCTGGCAGAATCTATTGGATGCCACCAGCGACCCATTACAGGCGTCGATGTGTCTGAGCCTAAATGAGTTTGTCTGATTTTCCTTCCTCGTCTGCAGGATGGCTGACCTGCTGGTGGGAGCTCCCATGTTCATGGTCCGGGGCTCTGATGGTCGTCTGGAAGAGATGGGCCGGGTCTATATTTACCTACAGCGTGGCCCTATGGACCTGGAGCTCCGCCTACCTCAACTGACAGGCAACCAGGTGTATGGGAGATTTGGTAGCACCATTGCACCATTGGGAGATCTGAACCAGGATGGTTACAATGGTAAGCATGGGGATTGTAATGGGGATGGACAATAGACTGATGAAATATTTTGAAGTGAAAGTAGTTAGCATCAAGATTTATTTTATGGTTCTGTATGCGACATTCGGGGCATTAAAACTGCAGCAAACCAGTATTTGCTATATTAAGATGTAGTGGAGTAATAGCCTCCTGAAAAGGAAGCCATGCTAGTGCTATAATCACAATCATAAGCTTATCTGTGGTTTGTTATTGTTATCCCAGTGTGGTCCTTCTGGCTCATTGCTGCCACTTTTCACTGCACTCATACAGCAGTTACCGCTGATATTGGGACAGTGCTGTCGCAGAAGCGTAGTGCCTACTCCGATTCCCCTGTGGTTAGCACTGTTAGCTTTGTCAGCGATGTTGCTGTTGTTTAAGCTTCATGTATGTATGTGAGTCAACCTAAAGTCCATTCAGTCCTGTGGAAACATCCATAAACTTGAAGGCGAAACTACTTGTTCCTATTTTTCAGTGTGGGATTTGCCTCGAATAAAAAAATTGGAAAAAAAAAAACTTTAGGTGAAAAAATTTAACTTTTGAGGCATATTTCAAAAAGACCCTATGCACTGTGCCACAAGAAGTTAGCATTAACTTCTAGCATGTTTCGCTAGCTATCATTGGTAACATGCTAATTGTGTAACTTACAGAGTACATGCTTAGTGGAGTTTAAAATGGGAGTTTTACATATAAATACTGTATGTAGAAATAGTGTCAGTACTTAAAGGTTTTTACAAATTACGTAATACGGTATCACACAAAGGCAAAGAAGGACACCTGGTAAGAGGACACCTACTATGATTAATTTAATGATTGGAGGTTTGGTAAGCGAACTTTCAAACCCAGACAAACCTTTTTTCAGCACCCTAGTGACAGAGCTTGGAATGAAAATGTTGGTTGGATGGTTGGCCAGTCCAGCACTTTGGTCTAGATTAATGGTCTTAACATTTTGCACATTTCATTTCATGGTCCCAAAAGGATGAAGACTAATGACTTTGGTGATCCACTGACTTTTCCTCTAGCTCACCCTTAATTTGGTAAAACTTAAGTTTATGACCAGCAAATCCAATGACACGATTAGCCTCAGCTGTATTTTGTGTTTACTGCTAATTTGCAAACCTATCATTTATACTCAAGTATAGCCTCACAGAGCCGCTGGCTGTAGACCCTAAGTCTCGATACTAAAAGGAATGTTTGACCTTATAATATTAGCTACTTTCTCTGTTAACCTCTGCACATCACCACTGTGGCTGCAGTCTAATATATTTCCTCACTTTTGGCCTTTTTGGCAGACGTGGCTATCAGCTGTCCGTTTGGAGGAGAGGAACGGCAGGGACTTGTCTACATCTATAATGGATACTCAGAAGGACTCAGGGAAAAGCCATCTCAGGTGATCACTGGCCAGTGGGCCGCTGGGAGTATTCCTGCCAGCTTTGGATTTTCCCTCAGGGGTGCTCAGGACCTGGACATGAATGGATACCCAGGTCAGTGAGGCTGGAAGAGTGCAATGACCATTGTGCACTCTTAATCTTTTTGGTATGTTGTCTAATTCTGTTCCTGTCTTTCCTCAGATCTCATTGTTGGTGCTTTTGGTGTTAGTAAGGCAGTTCTATATAGGTATGTTGCTTTGAATAAATTACTCTGTGCAATAAACAGTTCAGCATTGTGGGAAACATGTTTATTGGATTTCTTGCTAAGAAAATGAAAACTCATGTCTAGATGGACAGTTAGTTTAGCTTAGCATAAAGACTGAAAACAGAGGTAAACATCTAGCCTGACTTTGTCCAAAGGTAAAAAAATAAAAATTTGTTGGTAGGCTGATTTTTTTTTTTTTTTTACCTTTAGGGAGGGCTAGCTAGCTGTTTCCAGAATGGGGCCGAGTCATAGCTTTGAAAATCACAAGTGAATCTCAGGTCTTTGTACTCAAGTCTTAAGTCAAGTCCAAAGTCTTGAATTTTTAGTTTTGAGTTGTAAATAAGTCACAATACACTCATCACCAAATTTGTTGCCATTATAATAAAAGAATAATGATATATTACATTTACAAAAATCATGGACGCTTTTGAAACTTGTATTTATTTGTCAGTTGTTAGGCTAATGTTGGCTAAGCATTAGCTCACTAGCTTTGTTAATATTAGCCTCAGCGTACCATTCTTTGGGCAACTTCAAATGTTGTACAAAGTTGGAAGTTGTTATATCTTCAGCCACAATTTTCGGCCCGCACATTTTGGATACTGCAATTTTTTTTTTTTTGTTGACCACTGCGTAGTTTTTATATGAGAACGAAATTATCTTCTGCATCATTTTTTCCAGCTGGCCCTCAGTAATGTGATCTTAGTTCTTCATGTTTCTTTCCTACAGCTTGATTGAATGTGGCCAACTGGTTCAAACAAAGTGGATCATCTGAGGAATCAAGTGTACAATTGCTGGGAATGAATATTGTTAACAGTAGTTGATTTAAGAAAAGAAGGCAAATTCATTTATTTGATTAGAAATACTTTCTAATTGATGGGCTGAAGAGAAGGTAACAAGTATTTTCAAGTCAAAAGGCTCATGTCCAGTTGAAGTCATGAGTCATTGGTATTGAAGTCCAAGTCGAGAAGTCTTTTCAAGTTGAGTCTAATTTCATCAAATTTGTGACTTAAGTCTAACTAGAGTCCAAGTCCAAGTGACTCCAGTCCACACCTCTGGCTGTTTCCCTTCATTTCTAGTCTTTATTGCTAAGCTTAGATAATGTCAGCTTCTCTTTGACAAACATACATGTGATAGGTATCGATCTTCGTATTTAACTCTCGGCAACTGCAATAAGCATATTTCCCTAAATGTCAAGCTGGTCCTTTAAGCCAGTAAAAGAGGATATTTAATCTTTGCTGACTGAGTCTTCAATCTACACTCTTTACCCACAGATCCCGCCCAATCGTCAACACCAGTGCCTCTCTGACAGTTTACCCCACCATGATCAACCCTGAAGAGAAGAACTGCATCGTCACCAGTGGAAACACCAGCGTTCCTGTTTCCTGGTGAGTGTTCAGCATGTCCAGTATCAACCCTCAGCTTCCTGTGACTCTGCTTCACTACTTCTGTGTTGGTATTTTGTTTGACCCCTCTGCCAAAAGATGGGCTTCCCCACTTCCTTCACATGCATAAACACTCCTATCCTGGCAGGAAGTTCTGATAAGCAATATCCTGTCTATCAGCAGTCACGGTTTTAAGTTGTATCGAGAGCTGTTCTTATCTGACCCATTTTCAAAATGTCTTCATATCACACTGTTTCTGTTGAGGAGCAGAGGAATAACATGCTGAATAGCAGCATTGTTAGCCTTTTTTGGCCTCCACCAAATGTGCACAGCCAGAAACGGGGAGAGGAAACAGACGACGGTTGCTCGCTGCTCAACATGGTTGACACCGTGCTCATGTGTCTGCTTTCGCCCCCTTTTCCAGATCCTGATCCATAAAGGAAACTCTTGTATACACATGTGTCTTGATTACACTACGTTGCCTGGTGATGAGGAGTTTTTGGTGGGGGTGAAAGGAGAGCACAAGGGATAATGGGAGGGAGCGAGGGAGGGGAGGGGCTGGAAGGTTTTTTGCTTTGAATGAGATATTGTTTGGTGGTGGAACACAGCTGGGAAACATCAGGACACGTAGACTCCCGTGAGCGTGCGCACACAGTTGTGCAGAAACGGGCAGACACAGGAGCTTATACATGAAGTTATTACTGCTCCTCGAAAGAAGTCCTTGTACACTGTGTCTTTCTGTCTCATTTTTCACCTCTCTTCCCTTTCCTGTGTTTTTTTCCCGACAATCTCTCCCTTTTTCCTTTCTCACTTCTTCCAGTGTTTGCTCTGTGCCTCTTGTGTGGGTTTACTAGTAAAAGGATTGGGGGTTTTGGGGGTGCAGACTTTTGGACAGCAGCAGCATGTTGTGCAGCTGATGTCATGGGAGAGAGCTACAGGCTTATATAGACAGCCATTGACTGGTCAGCACTGAAACCTGAGTCCTCACCCAATTTCACCCTTCTTAACTCCGCTATTCCTTTTGTGTGGGGGGGCTGTGTGTGGAAACGGAGACACACCGATTTATCAACTTGGCTGGCGAAAGCGGTCGGATGCCAGCATGTCTCCAAACATTTGGCATTTTTTTCATATTATGCATCGTATTCCCATTACGTCTCGTGCCTTGTAATGTGAACCATGTAAGGAGCTGACACCAGAAAAATGGGCCATGAGAGAAAGTGAGAGAACAAGCGGGGGCAAGTGAGGTGTCCTTGTGTGCACAGTGTATTTATACTGAATCTCTGCCATATATGAATATGCTTCCCTCATCATGCCCCTGTCCCTCCTGTCCAAAACAGTGTCAACCTGAGTTTCTGCATATCTGCCGATGGGAAGCACCTACCAGACATCTTAGGTGAGCCAATTTTCCACATCTGCACTTTATTACTAGTAAGGAAACTGTTGAATAGCCACCAGTGGTAATGTTTTAAATCCATAACACGTCTGTAGGTTAAAGTGTTTTGGCAGCTGATGGGGATTTTTGGATTTTGTTATGACAAAGAAGGGAGTGCAGCGTGCAAAAATATCTTCTGTGATCCACCTCTTAATGATCAAACCTCTTCTGTGCTCAGTCTCCTTCTATATCAACCCCTAGTTATTATCTCTAATTACTCCTTCCCTTATATACAAGTGTTCCCCGTGCCGTTGAGTTACATTGACTACACTGTGTGTGCTTCGTAGGCTTTAAGGAGGCCTTTTTTTAAACCTGTCATTACGTGACTCAAGAACATTCATCATGCCATGAATGCTCATTTGTCTGTGTGTTCCAGATTTCCAGGTGGAGGTGCAGCTCGATAGCAATAAACACAAGCAGAAAGGTGCAGTGAGGAGGGCTCTGTTCTTGGATTCCCAGCAGCCCTCGCTCCAGAGGAGTGTGAGAGTGCGGCATGGCGAGCGTGTGTGCAACAACACCAAGATCTACCTAAGAGTAAGCCCTCTTTCTCACTAGTAAAAAACATCTATGACAGTTATTATTTCGTCTGAGACTGAAAGAGACAGTTCACCCCAAAATCCAAAACACACATTTTTCCTCTTACCTTAGATTGTTTGGTGTGAGTTGCAGAGTGTTGGAGATAGTGGCTGTAGAGATGTCTGCCTTCCCTCAAATATAATGGGACTAGATGGCACTCGGCTTGTTGTGCTCAAAGCGCCAACAGCAGTGTCTCTTTCCAGAAATCATGATCCAGTAACTCCAGATATTCCAAAGACCTTGTTGTGAGCAGTTTCATGCAGGAACTATTTTCTTTCTACCGAACTACACCTGCCAGCCGAATCAGGAAGTGTGCATGGACAAACATTATTGGCATCCTCCTTGGCTGAGCTGTTATGCTAGCTAGCTCAGTGGCGTTTGTATATATAGTTCCTATATGCAACTCCTAACAACAAAGTCTGTGGATTATCTTGAGTAACTGGTCATGATTTCTAGAAAGAGACATTGCTGTTGAGTTTTTAAAATGCATTTTTGGCGCTTTGAGCACCACAAGCTGCCGAGGGCCATTCAGTTCCATTATAAGCCAGAGAAGGCAGATATTTCTACGCACAATATCAGGTAAGAGGAAAAGTATGTATTCTTGATTTGGGGGTGCACTGTCCCTTAAGCAATTTCAGTAATCATAATCACTGACAAAAAATGTGCAATAAAAGCAGGTTTTCTAAAAAATATAAAGCAGCAGCTGTGGCTGTTTTTTGCGATTATGCTGTGTACCGAAATCCTGTGATATTCTTGCCCAGCAGATTCTCACTTTCTGCACAAACTGCATCTGACTAACACCCTTGTATGTGTTTCTTTGACTGCAGGATGAGAAAGACTTCAGAGATAAACTCTCCCCCATTTATGTGGCCTTGAACTTCAGCTTGGATCCAAAAGCTGCTGCCGACTCCCACGGCCTGCGGCCCATCCTCAACTATCAGACCACCAGCGTAATTGAGCAGAAGGTATATTGACGTACATTTTACTCTCTCTGTCTTCTATCTAGCACAGTTAACTAACCCTGGAGTGATCTACGGGTCTTGTAGCATCAATATATGGTGTGGCAGTGTTCTTTAATAACGTACATATGGTTCTTAGATTGCTTTGGCTCATTCTCACTGAGCTGATGATAAGAATATCCGCCACTATGAGTAATCATACCCCGTATCACCAGCCAGCTACTCACTGGCGTTCTCCTGTCCCTGATGAAAGAGCATGTTCTTTTTTAATGTAAATTCTAAACTACTCCGCTGGGAAGAGGTCCAGAGTGTCTGGAAAGCTGTTTTTCAAAATGAAAATGTGATGCATATGTACAGTGGAGTGTTTCCCCATCCCAGCAGGAATTGTTCTCAGCCTGCTTAGCTGCATAACGGTATATAGGTGACTCATTCCAGAGCTGCAGACACAGAAGGTTGGTTGATATTTCTGGGTGGGGCACAGTTGGGCTGCTTGCCTGTCTGGTTGAAATCTTGCGGCATTTTGCCAGTTTTCCTCTGGCAGTGAGTTAAGTTGGCTAAACATGTGGGTATCCTTTCAGCTGTGGCACGGCGTTCACCATATGTGAGTTTAGCAACCGGATTGTAGCGTTTGGGGAATGGCAATCAGCGCAGTTTTATCTTCCCCTCTTTTTCTCTCTCTCTCGTGGTTTGTTTCTATCTTGTTGGATCAGGACTTGAACCCTGTCATTGATGTCCTTCCTAGATATCAAAGCTGTTGGGGCCTCCAACAGATGTGGTCTATCGCTGAACCAAGACCTTGAGACGAGCCTGAGCTAAACATCATCCTTAAACCTGGAAAAGCCCCTTTTCACCAAACACCCAACAAGGGCAAACCTGATCTGTTTGTGTGTAAAAGGGAGAGTAGGAGTAGTGTCAGACTGCCAACACATTTCATTAATCTTACTTTAGTCTGTGTTAATGCAACAGTGTATAAATGGTGAAGGGAGGCTGTTATACCGCAGCCTTGGCCTTGATCAGACACACGATGCCCTATTGATTCCCACATATGCTCTGAGAATGCGTGGCAGCCCATGTAACATTTCACGGACTCTGCCAAGTTCCTACTCTCTTCAAGCTGGAGTGAGAATGAGAAATGGTTGATGTGCTCGGCACAGTCTCAGTCTCTCTCATCTTAACACAGTCCACATGTTTCTATAAGCAGTTAAGACATTATGATGGATCTATTAATTGCAATTATTCTCAGATCTTGTACAAAAGCATTTGTTTGTGGAAAACCAGAAAGGATCCCAGTTGTTGTCACCTTTTTAGAGCTTGGAAATGGCTGCAATGGTGCATCAATGCCCTCATTGTTCTTAAAGGGGAACTACGCCCATTTTTAAGATTAACACATGTTATTCCTGTGGTCTAAGGCAGTCCAAAAATATTAGTAAGCATGAACAAATCCAAAAGTGACAGTGCTAAATCTCACTTTGGTGATGTCATAGGGTATAAAGTCTGGTGCTGCTCCATAGACAATGAAATGGGTAAGATGTTCTAGATCAGTGATTCCCAACTGATGGGTCATGGTCCAAAAGTGGGCTGCAGGTCCATTCTGAATAGACCGCAAGTGACTCATGAACATGTCAAGTTTGTGAAGTAAAGTGAACTTTCAGCACAGAGCTTTTATTTTGAAGTGCCTTTCCCTCCGAATCAACATCCATGTAAAAGGTACAGCTGACCAGAAGACCCTTTTCACAACATGTTATGTGTGCGACCCCCTGGTGGGAGATTTAAAAAGCAGGTGATAGCAGTTAGCAGCTAACTCGAAGAAGAAAGACAGTGGCAGAAAATATCAGTAAAATTAGGAGACAATGAGCTCTGGGATCTCCTTACCCTCCAGGCATAGGACGAGATCAGCGCCATATGCCAAGGACGGTAACTGATAGTTAGTACCACGTCATGCCGTTGTTATTGTTTAAAAGGAGCTGCTGATGTTGGGTGTCGTGGCTTAGTGGATAGAGCAGGCACCCCATGTACAAAGGCATTGTCCTTGTTGCAGTGGCCGTGGGTTTGATTCCAGCCTGCGGCCCTTTGCTGTGTGTCATCCCCTCTTTCTCTCCCCCCTTCACACTGTCCTGCCCATTAAAGGCATTAAAGCCCCAAAAAATAATCTTTAAAAAAAAAGAAGAGCTGCTGACGTGTATGTTATATTTCACACTTGCCATACTGTCATGCTCTCTAAAATCACACACTGGAGCGACATGTTGCCAGCGGTGTTTGATTCTTTGTTAAAATGCCAAGGTGGTGTAAAGAAGGGACTTCATAGTGCCCCTGTAGAGCAACCCCTGTGCAAAAAAAGAGTTGTCTATAGAGCAGCTCCAGACTTGATACCCTATGACATGTCTATGACAAGTTTGAGACTTCCGTCTTTGGTCTCTGGCTTTGAGAGAGAGTATCTCATGTGTTCTAATATTGATTGGACTTTCCCAGACCATGGAAAAAACATTTTGGAATTCATAATTTGGGTGGTGTTCCTCTTAAATATAATTAGATCTGACCGAGTGGGAATTTGATTAATGGATTCCACTTGTTTTGCCAAGTAAGCGTTTTGATTTCAGTGCCCTCATTATGTCACATGCTGAGGTCAGTGTTGTTGTTGTTTAACTACAGTGACAGGCCTACGAACGCCGTTCTCCTGCCCTACACAGACATACAGAGTGCACATGTGGCCAAGTTAGCATGGTGGTTACCATGGTGTCCATAATTAGAGCCCCTGGATGGTGTAATGACAAGGGGGGCGCTTGGCTCTCTCTAATCTCCTCCTCTATTTCTATTTATTATCCTCTTCGTCATGAGCATCATCACACTGTCACAGGCGCAGCGGGATGCAATTTGGCAATCCGCAGGGCTTTCCCTGCCGCTGCCCTGCCACACGTTCAGCGGTCGTCCATTTATCCGGCAGTGTTTCTTTTCCTTTCTTGTGTTTCCCTCCACTGTAATCTCTGAGCCCCCACTTCTGCTTTTCAGGTCAACAGAGATATCCCATGTCTCAGTAAGTTTCTCTAGGCTCCTCCCTCTCCATATGATCATATACTGCTGTGGTTCGCTTGGTGGCGTAGCGTGTGGTAAAAGCGTGGTTTGCCACATAGCGCTGTGATGTGGGACGCTGGTGAGAGCTGGGAGCTGGCAGCTTTGTGCTCGAGCTCCACAGGAGTATGTCCTCCAGCACTGCCTCTCTGGGGCCGGACACTTCCTCCGTTCATCATTTCCTTCGCTCATGCCGCAAACAGAAAGCATGTGTGTGTGCAGGCCGGGGACAGCTGGTTCAGGTGGTGTGTGTCTGCGCCTGTCATGATCTCACTGAGTCAGACATTGTCCCTCTGAGCCACAATAGTGTTTGTAACTGTCTGATGATGCAGTGATGATGTCTTGTAGATAAGGGGGACTGCAGTGCAGGTGTGTGTCTGTGTGAGGCTGGGGTGGAATGTATTAGTCATACCACATGTCGCATCTTGCTACACTCATCCTATTGTCTCCCATAAACAGATATTTGATTTATCCTGTGCGCCTTATTCTCTTCACGTGTAAAAGAAGTGCATCTATTGTATGATTATTACAGTCTACATCCCCCTATTAAACCTTTTATAACCCCTTATGTTCATCCTATAGGCTCAGATTCTGTTGGACTGTGGAGAAGACAACATCTGTGTTCCTGACTTGAAGCTTGCAGTTCATGGGTGAGTCTCTTCATTTCCTTATACATTTTCTAAACACCCCAGAGAGTATGGAGAGTACATGGCAAAGTGTGAACAGGGTCACTGAACTCTTCACCTCCACTGTGCAAATGGGACCTTGGATTTGAGTGCTAAAGTGTAAATACAGCTGTTTTTGTTGTTCCGCTGCTTTGTTTAGTTTAACATACCAGAGAGGGCTGTTAATAGCCACAGTGGTGCAGTAGAGTAAGGGAACACCGTCTTCTGAAAACAGGAAGCAGCTCTGCTCTACAGGTGCTAGGACAAACAGTGAAGGGGAAAAGGCAGAAGAGATGAAAGGGAAGACATAGTCATGTTTTCACCTCACACTTTCAGTATAGTACACTTAGAACTGGTACCTAACCCATACAGACATGTACCTAAACCCCAGATCTGTTTTGCATTTTCAGCAAAGACAGTACTCTTAAATGTAGATTGGGTTGTTATCTGATTACAATCACTGCATCAGTTGTAAGTAGCATAACAATGCAGTGGAACGCCTGCACCTCATTAGTCAAGGTCATCTCCCTCCTACCAAGGCTGTGAATTCATCAGTCACTTTCGCCTTTTATGTTGTGGTCCAGGCTCCAGCATACAAGTCTTCAGGATCAGGCTTGAGTATTAAGAGTTGCTGTCACAGTGGATGGGATGTTTATAAATGGCAGGTGTGTGCATGTATGACCAATCAGCAGTGGTTGTAGCCAGGGTCAGTGGTTCTGTTGGTACCATCCACAACTTTTGACAGTGGCAACACAAAAACAAACGTTCCAATGTGTCACAAGCTGCTTGGTGGAAATGAAGGTTATGGGAGTTGAGCTCCAGAGTCCCAACCTCGCCTGCTTCTGAAGCCGTCAGGAGCACCCTGCCTTCCACACTTTGATTTAAGAAATCTGTTAGCATTTTTCTCAAAAATAACAGCCTCCTCGATACTCCCTTCTCTGCTCTGTCATTTCGATTTCACATTCCTATATTTATCTACCATCTGCCTCCATTTTTTTTCAATCTATGGCTGATCCATCACACATGGAGCAACCTGCTGTGAGTGCATGTTGGTGCTGCGCTCCATCCAAGCGCAGCTCCAGACATTGAGCCGTAGAAAGTGTGATTGGTGCAATTTGTAATAATAGCTACATGTTTTTGTCTGCAAATTAAGAACGCCTAATAGCAGTAAGAGGGGTTGACGGGATGGTCGTGATTTAGTGGAATTTCATGAGAAAAAAAAAGCATTCATCATTCCTGCAGTGTTGTTTCTTCTCTTCTTCTGCCAAAGCACATAACCTGTGAGACCAAGGGTCTCTGAGGAAAGCTTAAAGGTTTCATGGTGTTTTCTAATTTTGAGCCTTTGTTTGGTTTGAAAAGTGCAATGCCAGTTAGAATCAGACTAGTCGCAGGCTGGCAGAGAATCAGCTTCACAAATTGTCTCCCTCTTGCTCTCCTGCTCTGCTTTATGAGAGCAAGCTAATTAAAAGCGTCTGTGTGGCCCAACATGTGGAATTTCTCATTGTTCTTAGCTGCGCAGAGAGGTGGAGGGAGTGAGAGAAAGCGAGGGAGGGGGAGGTGTTTTACAGTCCTACGCTCTGTTATTAGGCATGTATGACTTTATTGCCACATCGGAAAAGTTTTCATTTAATGGAGAGGCTTTGTGAGATGAATCTAATCGATGTGTTTTTCACAGCTGGACTCTAAATAAAAAAGATGTGCCAAGCGCGAAGCCTGAAAATGTATTCGTTTCATTAAAGCAACAGCAATTTATTGCCCCCTCTCCTGCCAGCAAACCCAAACAAAGAATGTCATTGTTTACACACAACAGCGACTTCATTTAACCAATATCACACGAGAGGGAGTGCTGTTGCCCGCGGCCTCGTGCCTACGATCGAATCACAGCTGTGCTGGTGTTCAGTACATCCAGTGGTTTATGAAGTACCTAAAGCCATACCCGGGTAAAAGTGCAGATATATCACCAGAAAATGTCTTTTTGAGAAGAGAAAGTCAATTATTAGAATACATTTAAAGTCAAAGTCTTAAAGTATCTGATATTTACTGTACTTACATTCATTCATTCATTCTCCGTATCCACTTATCCTGTTGGGGGCCATGGGGGGGGGGGGCTGGAGCCTATCCCAGCTGACATTGGGCGAGAGGCAGGGTACAGCCTGGACAGGTCACCAGACTATCACAGGGCTGACACATAGAGACAGACAACCATTCACCTACGGGCAATTTAGAGTCACCAATTAACCTGCATGTCTTTGGACTGTGGGAGGAAGCTGGAGTACCCGGAGAAAACTCACGCTGACACGGGGAGAACATGCAAACTCCTGTACTTGTATAACAAAAGTAATCTTACCAGTATTGAAAGCAAAAGTACAAGTAAATGCTGGTGATAAAAGGCAAGCAGACAGAATTATGAAGTTTATTTCATCTTAACATATACACCACCTTAAATGTGGGGCGTGCATTCCACTTAAAGAAAAACAACTGGAAGGATTTAAAGAAAACCTTTGGCTATCCAGGGCTGACACACTGCAGTGGAGCAGTATTTGTGCAGCTACTTGTCACAAGTCTCCTTGAATTATAAACTGCCTTCTCTGCTGTGGGACGCCATTTTCTGCCTCCATCATCAGTCTCATCATCTAGTGGGATGTAGTTGCTAGCATGTCATATCTGATCTGACATGCAGCTTGTGCTTGACTAGAAATTGAAACTTTAAGAGCAGTTGTTTGCACTTGCCTTTATGTGATTAACTTATGCTCTAACTTGCAAGACTACTGATTAGCAAACCTTTGGATTTCATTTTGTAGTAATGAAGTAGTGAAATTGCCTGGGACATAGAAATACATAGAAACTGAAGTAAAAGTGGAGTAAAATGCTTTAACTTTCATAATTAGAAATTTATTGGTGTAAAAGTGAAGGTTGACAGAAATATAAAAACTCAAATAAAGTACAGAAAACCCCCAAAAATGCAAGAAAGTATTATTACTTTATTATATTACACCACTGATTACAGCAGCACTCCCTCTCATGTGATTTTGTTCTATCCAACAGTTTTACACGTGCTGTTTATTAGTTACCAGCTATAAACAACACCAGCTTATGATTTATTATTATTTTTATATTTATATTAAATAATTTATTTCACTCAGCTTACACTAATATATCCACCACTAGGGTACCCACTGCTCACCTGGTAGAGGAGGCACCCCATGTACAAAGGCTGTGTCCATGCTGTAGCTGCTGTGGGTTTGATTCCAACCCATAACCCTTTGCTGCATATCATCTCTCTCTCCTGCTTTCACGCTAGCTTGCTACTCTGTGTAGATGTACATGTTACCACAGGCCAGCTACCTTGTGCCATCCTGCAGTTATCTGTATGTTTCCACTTATGTTCAACCAGTGTAAGAGTCTGCTGACAGATGCTATGATGTCATATGTGTGATTCTGATGAGTTAACAGCTTGATCAGACAGTATGTTGCAACAACAGCTGATGTCATATGAGCACACCTGGAGGTTTGAAGTGGAGCATCCAGGCTTCTTTCCTCCCCTTAATCCTCCTTTGACGACTATTCATTATTTAACTCAACTGTTATTGGTGGAAATATGTTCATCTTTGTGGTGTAAAGTTTGTTATAATGACCATTAATGTGGAGTAGTTACTTTTATTGACAGTTTACATCAAAGGGGAGTGATAGAGCCACAATTTAAAGTCCCAGTGATGGGGCAGCCTCTAGCTCATCTGGTAGATTGTGCGCCTCATATAGGCTGAACTTCGAGTCTTTCCCTTTTCCTGTCAATCTCCAGCTGTGCTATAATGAAGCCAAAAAGCCCTAAAAAAATAATCATTCAGTCATGTTGTACTCTACATCAGCACCAGTGGAATGCCTCTTGTCCAGTCAAATTACTTGTTCTGAACACACTGCTCTATAATCACATTTATTTGTCTAAGGAGTGCTGACACCATTTAACCTGACCGTTGACCCTGTTACTAATCACCTTTTTGTTTTGTTGGCTCCTCAGGAACAGGAAGGAAGTCTACCTGGGCGATGACAACTCGCTGACCTTGACTTTCAATGCCAGGAACGAGGGTGAGGGAGGAGCGTATGAGGCAGAGCTGTATGTGGTGCTGCCCCCTGAAGCTGACTACAGCGGTATCGCACGTAACAATGAGGTGAGTAGAGATGCACAGTGACAACCTACAACTTCCTGCAATTAACATCCGTCTCAGCTGTTAATGATTGTCCGTTGCTGTGGTTTGACTCAGTCCTCTGTCATCTTGTTTCTCAGAGCCTGGCTCAGCTGACCTGCAGCTATGAGACAGAGAACCAGACCCGATACCTCAGCTGTGATTTGGGCAACCCGATGAAGTCTGGTACCAGTGTAAGCTCATCTTTTGGCAGTATTTTTTCCCCTTCACTCCATGTGTGATGAGTTAAAGGACTGCAGGATATGGTGCTGCGGTAAACAGTTGACACAACATCATGATTTCCTGCTCTTTGTAAGACACAAGCTGCATGTCATCCCCAGGTTGGGTGTGAACAGCACAGGAAAAGTCACTATGTGTTAGGAAATGTTGTGACAGGAAGCACAGACTCCATCTGTGCCCTCAGCTCCCTGCTGGGCAGAGTTTCCCTTTTTAATGATGCAGTCACAAGCTGGCACGCTTTTAATAGGTCTGTAGAGGAAAACCATCGACTGCATTTTAACTGGAAAAGACAGAAAGACTTCTCCATTTTAAAAACAGTTCCTAAAAGCTGCTCACTTGTTCTTTCGGAAGATTGTAGCACTATTGATCTGATGTGTACGAGAGATAGCTCATGAAAAAAAGTAGATGCAGGCAGACTTAATGTAAAAATAGATCTGGGATTATAGATAAAGAAAGGGCAAATTAAGGCCTTATTTATTATAGGGGAACTCACTTTTGATGAGTGTTTATCTACATAAGTTAAAGAGCCATGCAACATTTACTTTTTTTGTAATTCAAATTTTCATTCCTTTTGCATTTTGATAATGGAGAGATATGATGAAATCAATGAGTTAATTAAAGAAGAAGAAGAGATTTTAAACTTACTTCTCCTGAGAAGACAAAGGGAGGGCAAGAAAATGAAATGTTTAGTGTGTCCCTTGAACCAAAGAAGGGAGATACAGAGTGAATATGTTTTGGTCCAACAAATGCAGGACTGTTTGATGATCTAGTCAACCGGATTCTGCCCTAGGTGGCTCATGCCGTGACACAAAACTCCAGTTCAGTCAGGAAAACTAATTATATTTGGTGGCATGGCTCTGTTCTGGGGCCTCTCTGCCTTTCCTTGGGCCTACACAGAAAGCGCATTCCATGCATACGTGGAAAGCCTAAAGCAGAGAGAGCACACCTGTCTGCCCTTCCATGTGCAATCGAGGAAAGCCGGAGGTAGAGAGCACACACACATCCCTGCCCTTCCATGTGCCTACGTGGAAAGCCCAAGGCAGGGAGAGCAGCAATAAAGACACCCAGGAACAGAACAGAGCAGCATCAGTGACAAACAGAAATGACATTGATAAGTCAGACACAGCATGAAAAGGAGGAGCTGGGGTGGAGGCAGGTTGCAAAGTGGCTTGCAGAGGAAGCAGCAACAGTAGGCAGGCCAGAGCAGTTTAAATAGGGCACCCTGAATGAGATTCGCCAATTGGTTGCATAGAAAGGAACCATGTGATCTATCAGCTGACTCCCTTCCATCAATAAGCTGTTCCATCAGTTTATTGGGTTGTTTGAGATCAGCTGGGATGTGAGCTGAGCTTGACATTGTGTTCTGCCTGAACTAACGCTATGCTCGTGTGTCACAGTGGCTGACAAACAAGTGCGTGAAAAAAACAAAAAATTTTAGGTGCGCAACATAAAAAGAAAGTACTGAGTGACACTTTCTATTGAAAATTAGTCATTTCTGCTGAGTGACACTCATTAAAACTGTCAAGCACCCTACTATCAGGCTCAGGAACTCTCAGCCACGTGTTGGACCTGCCCACGTGTAACCCACCTGTCTGCGAGATAGTTGAGGAGTTCACAGACTGACACACCCAAGAACATCACGTATCTATCAGTGGATCAGATGGGTAGAGTAGAGACAGGAGGAATAGCTGCCTGAGAGTTCTCAACAGTGCTGTAAATAGAGGGTAGATACTTCACATCTCTCCCTTCTCTGTTGCTTGTTAGGTAGTCATAGAAAATATTATGATGATGATGATGATGATGATGATTAATGTGTTGGATCTCTTTGCAGCTGTGGGCAGGTCTACGCTTCACAGTGCCACGACTGAAGGACACACACAAAACTGTTCAGTTCGAGCTGCAGATTCGCAGGTATGACCTGATGTCAGCGTCCAACAGATTTGAGAACAGTTCATAGAACATGTGGGGATCTGGTTCAGCTGAATTAATCTCCACAACCCTCAAATGATGTCACCTAATCAAAATCTTTTTCTTCTCTCTGTTTCCACAGTAAAAATGAGAATAACTCCCATAGCGAGGTTGTGCCCTACAAGCTGGAGGTCGTTGTCCAGGCTGAAGTCATTCTGCAGGGGTGAGTTGAGAGTTTGGATTCCCTCATTTGAACTTGTGGAATTTCATTAAGTCTCTGGTGCCTCCCTCACACATGTTCTCACACCCCCAATTCTCCTTTAAAGCGTGTCTCGACCAGATAAGGTCTTCTTCCCCCCGGTCAACTGGAAGGTGACCAAAAACTATGGGGTGGAGCAGGATGTTGGGCCTGCGGTGGAACACATCTATGAGGTAATCAGCCATGTTAGCTGTGCAGACTCACCGGGGCTGAGCAGATTGGGTTGGAAAGCAGATCCTACTGTTCGTAAAAGCAAGTTGACTTCCCATGGCAGCAATGAAGGAAAACCAAAGAAAATGTACTCCAGATTACGCAGGGTGATTTATTCTCAGGCTCTGCTGTTCCACTTTCACATGGGTGAGATTTCGCAGCGCTCCACTGTAGGTGACCTATTTGTAGATTATGAAAATATGTCAGATATGAGAGTTTCAGCATGGGAAAAAATCTGTTGCAACCTCCCAGCTATAACTAAAATATGAAATGATGAAGCTGCTTTTTGAAGTTTTCTAATACTTCACATACTGACGTTTCCTATTTCATTTCCTTTTTCCAGCTGGTGAATAACGGGCCCAGCCGGATCAGCCACACCCTACTGGAGCTGCGCTGTCCCCTCAGTGTCCAGGGTCAAAACCTGCTTTACCCTCTGAAGTTCTTCACAGAAGGCCCCATCAACTGCACAGCTGATAAATACATGAACCACAAACGCCTCAAAGTAAGGCTCAATCCCATTCCTTTTTTTTTTTTTTTTTTACCCTTACCTCTTGTTTTTGAGTGCCCCTTTGCTCCTTGGGACAGAGTTTTGAGGAGTAGTGGTTGAAACATTACCCCGTGAAATGGGACAACCCTTCAAGACCTTGATATGTCATAAGTATCCTCATCTATAGTGTTTCCGTAAACAGACGCAACTATGGCAACAATGACATTTACCATTTATTTTATGGAAGTAGAAAAGCATGGATGCTCTTGGTTTGTTCACAACATAAGTCACAAGTCATCAAATAAAAAAAGAACACAACTTCATTGCCAGGCCACTCGTGGTGCTCTGCAGGCTAACATTAGCAACCGGTGCTCCTACCCTGCTACTCTGCTCTCATATTAAAGGAGCATTAACAAGTGAAGCAACTTCACTGCTGGACTTCAGTTACATTTTGGGCGTAAGATGCCATCAAGGGGGGGAGAACTCTATTTGGAGGGCCATGTATCCCTGACACTTCGCCTTACCCCTCTATCCCAACATAATCAGGACACGCTACCCCTAGACATTAACATGCAAACGAAGGGGTAAGGGCTAAATGGTAGGGGCAAGGGGTGCATTGGGACAGAGCCTAAGTATCTCACATGCAGACGCACACCTCTCAGGGTCAAATGAGGCTGTATCAGACGGTTCACATCTCCCACCGATTCCCACTCGCATGTATGATTAACAGTTGGGCCCTTCCGCTGGTAGGCCCACACCCACCTCCTCCTCCCAGCTTCTCAGCCCCACCCAGGACACTTACCCCACCACCACTTTGAAGATCCAGCTCTTCCCTGTGCTCAGCACAGCTTGATGACCCACCTCAACCCAGCAGCTCACTCATTTTCAACACCCAGCGACACGCCCCCCTGATACCAAGCTGTAGCTTTTTGAGCATTTCACTGCAGTTGTTTGTGTTTACATTTTACGTGACAGATGTTTCGCAGGGTTGGGAGTGGTCATCTGCCTTAGCTGTGATCTAATGTTTTTTTTCCCTGGTGAATTGCTAATTACGGTGAATTTCCACGGGAATCCATGAGGAGCAGAGCTCACATGCTTCTGATTACTGACAAATGCCTTGGGGTCATGCTAACATTAGGTCTTATATTGACAGAAAGGGTGGTGTGCTCTTCTGCCTGGTGAGGTCAGTGTCTGTGTTGTCCTAATGGGTGGTGTGTGTGTGCTCTCTCCCCTCTTACAGCTCCAGCCCACGTCCACAGAACCACCTATCCTTGCTCTGAAGGCACATGAGCACCGCATCGAGAGGAGGGACGTCCACAGGAATCCACTCGCTCATTTAACTAACCTGGTAAGATACTTAAAGGGGACCTATGATGCTTATTTTCAAGTTCATACTTGTATTGAGGGTTTGTATTAGAACATATTTACATGCTTTAATGTTCAAAAAACACTTCATTATGCTCATACTGTCTTTGCTGGAACACCTGTATTCACCCTCTGTCTGAAACCCTATGCTTAAGCACCCGTCTCTTGAAGCCCCCCTACTGAAAAAGCCAAGTCTGCTCTGATTGGTCAGTGTTTCCGGGTCTTCCAAACCTCAGTGTCTCATCATTGTAGCTGGGGAATGACTGCAACAGAGTATAATGGCACTCTCTTTCGTGAAAAATCATTGATTGATTAATCAAACTTTTCATTAGCGGACATGTTTCAACAGCAATTGACAACATTGGCATTAAGATTATGTTTCCCAGATCTTAGCATGTAGCTACATGTAGCAGTGTACTGCTGCAGTACTTACAGCCAGGAAATGACTGTAACAGAGCACAGCGGCACTTTCTACCGAGGAAAATCACCAATAAAAGCTCGAGTAGGAATATGATCCGGAATCAGGGAGAAATTAACAACATCAGCAACCAAGATTACATGTTTTCTTGACATTAGCATGTAGCTACATGTAGCAGTGTTCTTGCAGCCAGAAACAACTGTGTTCAGCTTCACTTTCTCCTGTTAAAAATCAGCATTAAAAGCTTCTAATCACAACTGGACACGTTTAAGCAGGAATATAATCTGAAACTGGAGAGAAATTAACAACATCGGCAACCAAGATTACATGTTTCCCTGATGTTAGCATGAAGCTACATGTAGCAGTATAGGCTACATAATGTAAACACTCGCAGTAGCGATGACCATATTAAAAAAATTGTCAGCAGCTGATGTCATCTTACCTCGAAAGCAGAAAAAATGGAAACAGAGTATTAAGTACTTTCTGGAGTCTGAGGTTTTTGCTCACAGGGATACTTTCACATACATGTACCTCATTATTTGAAACTTTGGTCATGTTTAATATGAACATCCAACAACGTAACATCATACATAAAGAAAATGAGGAAAACAATAGGCTATAGGTCCCCTTTAAAGAGGAATTGTCATGTTCTATAAATACATGTTGTATGGATGGATGAACACCATCAGGCCAAAGTCTAATGTAATAGGTGACTTGAAAGTGAGGGAATGAGGAGCGTGAGTTTACAGTTAGGGGTTAATGTGGTTACGGCGTTACATTCGTGTCACTAACAGCAGGTCAGGACCAAGTGTTGAGAACAAAAACAGAAGGTTTGAACAATATATTTTATTGCCTGAAGTGTGCAGGTCTGGATCTATTTTGGTGACACTGCTCTTACATGAGGCTCCTGGGATTGGGTAATTAGGTTATGATGTCGTTAAAAGGGAGGGGTCAGAGGGCACAGGCTTGTCCCGTTGTGGTGATTAACATTAAAGAGCCTTTAGTAGTGGTGGAGGGGTGGAGAGGCTGATGGGAATGGGAGGCTTTTTTTCAGTGATGCACTGGTGACTTCACAGACCGCTCTCTAATTTTGGGTGTTGTGAGGCCCCGAGCCCCCACACAGTGGCCCCATTGATCCACCCAGCTGCAGGTAGCTTCTCTCTCTGCCTCCCTCTGTGGATACCTGCCTCCACCCAAAGAGGGCTTTGTCTGTGCTCCTGTCGCTCCTAACTGCGCTCGTTTATCAAGCATGTCCAATGACACGCCAGCATGAAGGACCCCATTCTCCTGTTTCGCCTGTGTCTGCACTTTTAGTTTTTAAGCTCAGGAGGACAGACATCGCTGTTCAGAGTGTCTCTTGATCAGAGTGTGTTAGTGTTAAGTGATGCCTGGGTGAAGCTGTCAGCCTAGGTCATAGTGTGAGAATTTAAAATGACCTGTGCTTAGTCTTTGAAGAGCTGAGCTGTGCATAAAGAACAAAGGACTGGCTTTAACTGCACTAATAACCAGAAGGCATTCATAATGACTACAGTACCTCAAAATTTCTCATCAAGCCGTAACTAATAGCTTTATTAATGGTAAATTCATAAATGATTAATGCTTTGATGATCTGTTAAAAGGTGTGGCAGAACCATTTAGGGGTTGCCAGGCTGTGATATATTTCTCTGTGATTCAGGTGTTCATCCTGCAGCAGGACACTTGTCATTTTTAGTATTTTAATCAATCAGGAAGGTCCTCTGTTTGAGCGCTACTGGAAAAACCTGCAGAGAATCTGGACCACAGTCTAGTAATAAACAACTTAACATGTGTAACTGTAGAATTGATGGTTTATTAGAAAGTGTGCAAGCCAATATACTAACATTAATGACTGCAGTATTACCTCATACATACAAACAAAACTAGTGCTGGTTCGGACTTGATTTGAGTCTTTCTTTTTACGTTTTACGTTGTATGCTTTTGTTGTCAAAGGATGGATGGGCAGTTTTGTCATTGCTTGTGGATGTTTCTTAGTGATTGTGTTTGCAATGCTTCTCCTAAAGCTGCAGCAAATTTTCACATTTAAGAAGCTGGAACCAGCAAATGTTTGACATTTTTGCTTGAAAAATTTTAACAGTTCCAAATAGTTGCCGTTTAATTTTCTTTCGATCGACTAATGGATTGATCGACTAATCATTGGAGCTCTGTGACTGACTGATCGGTTACTCCACCAATCATTACAGCACTTTTTCCAAAGTGTCAACCTGTGCAGGCTCTGTATCAACAACAGCTGTACAGTGAGGCCAGTTATTCCATGAGTCTGTGGGAACAGCCTCCACACCCCCGAGCTCCAAATCTTGACCACGTAATCCCACCAGGGAGGATATGTGGGACTTGGGTCTGAGGCATCTTTGGCACTGGTCCACGTTCATGTCATTTCCATAAACCTAAGTGATCCCAATGCCCTGGAGCATTGAGGAGCTCCACCAGGAGGAAGTGGACTGATTGCCCCCTGTCTGTCTGAATACCCTCATTAAGTCTGTCTAACGCTGAGCCTAAGGGAACCAGGGGGGGGCTCTTTTATCCTCCTGTGTTTGCCCTGCTCGGTGTAATAAGTAAACTGATTCACCCTCCTGCAGGAAACCAGCCGAAACCTCTCAATCTGGGGGTGGTCCAGCTTCAGCACCACCTCTATAACACAGTGTGTGCATGTTCTTAAATGTGAAACGTGCCAAGCTGCATTATGGGGATCTAATTAGGAATATGTATTCTACAGTCTTGAGAAAAATGGGTCGGTTTTAGTGGTTGGGCAGTAATGTGGAGAGTGGTGCATGCTGCATTTTTACAGTCTCATGACATTCCTTCAATCTAATTTGAAGCAGGCGTGGAATACTGATCATAACATTGGGCTCTTTGTTATATTTATTCAACCTGCAGCATTAGCATGGTTGTTGGTTGTCCTGCCCATATCTGCCAGACCAGTTTTCACTTTTTCCTGTATGAGTTACCTCTGTTGGCTTGACTTATTAAGCATTTAATTAACATTGTCTTAACTGCTTTCTCTCTGTTCCATAGTCTTGCTCTAACACGGAGTGCTGGGCGCTCCAGTGCACTGTGGGTCTGCTGGAGAAGGGGACGACTGCCATCCTGAAAGTGCGCTCCCGCGTCTGGGCCGAGACCTTCACTGAGGTTTGTCAGAGATGACCCCTGTCATGCGAACTCACCAGACATGTACTGCACATGAGCACATGAGTGTTCCCACCAGATGACAGAGGCATGGCGGAGGAAGAGGCTGTGCACTTTACTGTAGATTAGTCTTTTCCCACCAGTGCCTGTGTATTTTCTCATGTCAGACTGTGGCAGGAAGTAAGAAGCCATTTTTCATTAAACCATCAAAAAAGAAAACACTGAGAGTGAAAACCTCAAATGTGCGGCAGGCACAAGGTACAAAGCTGCAGTAGTCAGTCTCATATTGGTTTGTGTTGTTTCTGGATCAGATCTTAAGGCTACAGTCTCACATATTTGCCTCAACAAATGGGACGACAGTTGCTGACTGAGACTCTAGATTACAGATTGCAGTTTCTACGTGTTTACATTTGTCATTCTATCTGCCTGCCATGTCCGAGCTACACACAGACTGTTTACCACCCCCTGCATGCAGTAACACAAGGCATATGTGTGAATGTAAAATGCATTATTTGGTATCACAGCTGCTCATAGGAAAGGAATGCTGAAGGGATTGTCTTTGTGAAAGCTTGTGGTCTGTGTCGCCACCTAGTGTGTAATTGACAGATTGCATCCTTGTGTTCATTCCTTCAGAGAGCCTACAAGCAGTATGTGCTGGAGTGCCTGGCCAGATACAGTGTGGAGAAGATGCCCTACGCCATCCTGCCTAGACATTATCCCAGTGGACACAAAAAGGTATTTTAGATCTTTTGTTTACTCATTCCAGAGGGCCTGCTTCATACAGAAGTATTATTTTAATTTTCTTTGCTGAATTAAACTGACAAACTGAGCTTTTGCCCTCAGGTGGTGACCCCAGTGGTGTGGAACAAGCCAGATATCGAGAACTCAGTTCCTCTGTGGATCATCATCCTGGCCATTCTGGCTGGTTTACTGCTCCTGGCTCTGCTCATCTACGTCCTGTACAAGGTCAGTGCTGCTGTCAAACAAGGATTTAAAGGTCCAGTGTGTAGGATTTAGGAGGCTATATTAGCAGAAGAGAAGATAATATAATAAGTATATTCTCTTTAGTATATCACCACCTGAATTTAAGACTTGTGTTTTGTTTTTTTGCCTTATGGCTGAAATACATGGGGCACGGACATGAATCTTCACATAGGTGGAGTGAAGCAGGGTTTCTTAGCTTGTTTTATAGACTGTCTTGCAGCGTGTGGCTGCTGCCAGCTTCACTCTGTGTGTATGGAATTTTGCCAAGTGATAATGCACTTGGTTATGCAAGCTTGGAAGCTTATAGGCTGCATTAGGTAGAACTTAATTAATTAACCAGGTCATTTCTACAGCAGCGTGCATTTATTTGATTGATTTATTTTAATGTGACATGTAAAGACACCCCCAAGGTTGCTTTGTGCTTCGTATTGCCTCCGGTACTATGAGGTATTCATCTTTATTATTTTTAAACAGATTTTGCTCGTTTTTTACACAAATCTATGTAGTTTTTACCTGTTGGAGGGCTGCAGAGTCACCAACAACATAAAATTAATGTTGAGCAGTGCAGTGCCCGCGCAAGCAAGCATGACTTTCATGTTCAGTGTCGCAGTTTCAGTTGATTATAATAGACATGCTACGCTGTGGGCATGCTACGGCAGATGTGTTGTGTCGTGTCTGTGTCCCTTGTATTTTGGCCGTCAGAATGAGACGTTTATTTATACATAGGTTTAAAGCAGCTGGTCCTTTTGTTTTGGAGAGGAGGAGACCTCTACGGATAATTTGGCTCCTGTGTAAACTTCCTGAACAATGAACACTGAAGGAATTTTAACCAGGAGAAGTTTCAGCTGGTTGCAATCTGTAATCTTCACCACTAGATGCCACTAAATCCCCCTCAATCTTACACACTGGACCTTTAAAGAATGAAATTCCATGAAACTGACTGCAATTAAAGTGATTAATTCTGTGCTCATTTCTAATTTCTACTTTTCCCCAAATGTTTTCTTCTAGTTCGGCTTCTTCAAGCGCTCTCTACCGTACGGCACCGCCATGGAGAAGGCTCAACTCAAACCACAGGCTGCCTCTGAGGCCTAAAAAAGACAAGCGTAGCCTCCAGAACCACAGTACCTGGCCATATGATTGCAACGGAGAAATACGATGGATCATGTAGAGTGGATCAGAAAGCAGTTTGAAGCGAAAGAGAGACCACTGGAACTCCACTGTGCTGCACTAGAGAAAGACAAAAACCCAAAGATCTCTCAGCCAAATGAATGTTACTTTTTTTGTTAATTTATGTCTTGCTTTTTGGCAGGTTGGGATTGTTACCAAATAGGACTTTTTCTCAATGCGTCATGGCTAATGTTAGCCACCGTCAGCCTGCGGATGCAGTGAGATGATTTCTTTTTGTGGAGAGTTCTGTTTCACCCTGTTAACTGCCTTATTTTGGTGCTAATGATCTGACGCGCTCACTGCCTCTGACAGGATATGGCTGCATGTAGCTTGGCAGCCAGGAGCTGTGACTTGCGCTGCCTGCGGAGGCCTGAAATTATTCTTCTGGTATCCTCTGAACACAGTTTTATTGACAGAAGATCAGTCAACAGGTTTCAGGTGGAAAAATTAACCTGGCGATAGCAACGTCAATGTTACCAGCCTGGAAGTTGAACCTTAATCCATTTAATAGCTCTGCTTTTATAACAACATTTAAAGTTTTAGGTAATTTTAACCCTGACCAGCCCAAGGTGTTCCCCTGATTTTTGCCTAATACATGCTGGGATATGCTCCGGCACCCCGCCACCCTGAACAGGATAAGCGGGCGTGGAAAATGCATGGATGGATGTTTCGTAACTGTTCATGAAAAGTATCTCTCTGCCTCAGGTTGGTGGACAGCGCTGGGTTGAGTTGTTTTTGCACTCAAAGGAAATCTACTGATATAATTCCTGAGACACCGAAGACTGACTGACTGACTGACCTTCCTTTGAGTTCTGATTTTGACTCCTACTGATCACTTTGTTTAAATCCTTGTTCATGTTCAGAGTTACCAATGCTGGCATCGTCATTGTTGTGTAGTCGACTGGGATGGGACTGGAACCACCGCAGACCTGTGAAACTTCACATTGTGGTGCTTCTGTCCAAAAAAAAAAAAAAAGTGCCGTTCTTCTAAAGAATACTTTACTCAGTTTGAGTCTAGCTCATTCAGTGTGAAGACCACGTGCATGCAAATGACGCTTAGGGGACACCGCAGAGTTGATGTGCCATGGTGTGATGATGTCTTTAACCAAAGACGTGACAATCAGCAATGTTGTAGCTTTGACAGAGAGTTTTAGTCTGAGAGCAGGCGGGACCGTCACTCTTTGTGAGGATCCATTTTCAGCTCACAGTGTGTGTTACTGTGAGATACTGTATTTTTGATTGTCTTTTGAGTAACAGCTGCCCACGTTTAGAAAGAGAAGTGGCTGAAGTCATCCCACTACCAAAAGGCTACAGGGACTGAACATGAAAAATGCTTTGTGTTGGTTTGTTTTATTTGTCATGTACATAGATTTCATGTGCCTTAAATGTAAATAATGTTAGGGGTTAGGGTTGTGTGTGCTTGCATGGATATATGTGTGACTTCATGCATACATGCATACGTGTGAATGGTATATTTATGAATGTTTGTTTTGTGTATGAAACGGTTATTGCCTTTCCCAGTGCTTAGTTTATCCCTATCACCTCTGTAGTTATAGATCATCGAGGTTAAGCCATTCTGCATTAAAAGAAGTATTTAACTGATGGAAAGATGGTCTTCCATAAAACTAGGCTGTCTGAACAGTAGAGAGACGCAAATACTTTAAATTTTGGTGCTACATGGCCAGAGAAAACAGAGGAAAAGTGCTGTGGCGTTTGACCATTGCTCGAGAGGTATAAAACCTACAGCTACCATAATGCATTGCGCTGCAGCCTTACCCTGCTTCTGATTGGCTCACCCTAATCAATCTCACCCCTTATGCCTAAAACTAACCAATCCAAACAACGAAGGCAGCAAGTACAAACCAATCAGAGAAGGAGTAGGGCAGGTCTTGACTTCCCTATGCGGTAAACGGAAATTTACCTCTTGCTTGTGGGTGACGTTTGGCCGTTAAGTTATGAGAAACAAAATGGCGGCCGGCTGGTGACAACTCATCTGGGCTCACAGTAAAACGGTAAGCTAAACTGTGTTTCTGTAAAGACCCGAGGCGGCAATTAGGCAACGCAGTACCCGAATCTTAGCGCTGCTTAATTTGACCGTTTTGTCCCATTTTCCCCCAGCCTTCCTTTTACACAATACAGGAAACTGTATGGCGCCAACTTCCGGTTTCGGTATTACAGCTAAACAGTGCGCTAAAATATGTATCTGAAGACATTCAAAACGGAAATAGGCAACACAGTAACAGAATCTTGGTTTGTATTTGATCAGCACTGCTTCGTTTTACGGTTTAATTGGAGTTTGGTCTGTGTTTAAGAGAAAGGAGGGGGCGGGTTATTCTCTTGATCCTCTTCTATACTCCTTGTGACGTAGTGGCAACTTACCAAACATAGGAAATGGCAGAAATGTAACCTGTAGTTTGAGCAGCAGCCTTAGAGCCAGCAGGGAGATATTTGCCCTAAGATGGAGGAATGTTTACCACATTTTATTTACATATTATCTAAACAAAGCTGGCTGAAAATCGACACAGTATCTCTCATATATTAGACATGATAGCATCAATACAGTCTGCTCAGGATGGTTTGTTTAAGTGCATTGCAGCAGTTCACACACCCTCATTGTAAATCACCAAAAATGACTATAAGGCAGGATGTCTTGTACCTCTAACACAGGGATAGCAGCTAGGCACTGGGAACTAAATGTTGTTTGGAAGTGCAATATTTATATTCACCCTTTTTTTTTTAATATTACAGTGCTTTCTTTTGGGTTATGTTTTATTTTGTGACTGAGTTGTGACAAACCAGGACTTTTTGTGTCAGAGTATGTGATAAGCACACACACTAAACCCTTTGTGAGGTTCTGGCTTTTCACCTTCACTTGCTTTCTCACTAAACACTTCAAGTGTGAAACTTTTTTTTTGTTATACTCACCACTTCATCGCTGGACCACTTCTTTTCTTGATCGTGCAGATTTTTTTTTATGCCACAGACTGACAAAGAAACACCAGAGCATATCTGAGTTGAGCTCAGGTATGTTGACGTAGTTTGATAATTTATGTGCTCTGCTATTGCACCTGTCCAAACACCAACATTGTACTAAACACGTGTTTAACATTTGTTTGTATCATCACAATCTTTTCATATGCTCCCTCTTATTGGCTAGTGATTTATAATTTGTCAGATGGTCCGCAAAATCCCCATATGGTAGTTGATTTAAAACGGTTAACATTGTCTGTTCTTTACTGAACATTTCAACCCATTATTTATAATGACAGGGGATCATTTTACTACTTCCTCCATGGTTATATCCGGAGAAGGCACTGGGTTTTCTTTTCTTTTTTCCCGTCTTAGCCCATTTTCACTCTCCAGGACTTCATACAAGAAGTTGTACATATTTATGACAAGGAGAGTATTTTTTGAATTGAAAGGATAACTGATTTGTTGTGAATTTTTTTCACCCCATATTGGGGAGAACATTTTTGTCAGGGGGGGTCTTTGAAGGTCAATTTTTACCTGTTATGGTTTGTACTTTTAAATAAAATATTTCCCTTTTTACAGACACTTGTGCTTTCATTCAATACACATAACTGAGAAAATAATTTATTTATAAAACAACATTGTATGAAATTATATGCATGTCAGTTAGTGGCCATGTTGCCAAAAAATGATCTGATACAATATATTAGTTTTAATGTGAAAATACAAGTGCACGAAAAACTGACCGCAAGTGACAAACTAAGGCAAAGATAGTATGTGTTCTCGTGGCCCTTTAGTGGAACCAGCAGAGTGATTCTTCCACAGACAGCAGTATACAAAGTGTCACATAAATGAGTTTTTACACCAAAGTCAGTTAAGCTGTGGATGTTGTAACATTTCCTTTGTGAGGGGATCAGTCTCCACTGTGGCACATGCATGGCTGTAAGGCGTTTTGAATAAAAAAATTTTTCCCACAAGTCACAGAATTGGATTCCGTAGTGCATCATTAGAGGTTATTACTGTGCACGCAGCACATTTTCACTCTTGATACTGTGCTGGGTTATCAATCAATGTCCAAGCTCCTTGAATTAAAGTGACTCCACAGCACTCAGCTCCTCCAGACATCCATCTTAATTAAGTGACTGTGGAAGTTTTGTTCAACCAGCTGCAGTTCTTTCTGTGGTTCAGTTTTCCGCTATAGTTTGCAGTCTCTGTACATATGCGCATTGATGTCCTAGCATTCTATTGTCCTTGATAGCTGCGTTAGCTTGCGCTGGTTGTCGATCACTTTCAGGTTCTGAATGTAGTGCCGGATGTTGCAGGGACTCCGCAGAGGGAGGGCGTAGTCTGAGTCTGGAGGAGAAGAAGAAATCAGTTTTGAGTCAGTGCATGTTAAAGTGTTTGTATTGGCAAATCTTCTTTTTGCCATAATGTGAAATTTGAAATGGACTATTGTGAAAGCAAGCAGAGGAGCCATGGCCTCCCACTGATACAATTGCTGGCCCTGCCACCAACCCCTCCTGCTGAAAATAATTGGCCAACCATACTGTCTTAAAGGGCCTTTACACATCAAGATGACGGTTGGCCATTGGTCAGTGTTGGGCCATCTGTAAGTCTGTTGCTCTAGTTTTTGCATTTTGTTTGGAACCGTTGGTACTACAAGGCCTGTCCATCGCTGAATGAAATTACTCAATTTGGCAGTTCAGCACAGTGGACGAGAAGAGAAACGAAAGTGAGGAAAGCAAACAAACGACTAAAGTCAAGAAGGCATGAGATCAAAGCAAATTTGTTATAGTATGTACATTTTTTTTTAGCCTTTGAGTGCTTTCAGAGAAACGTTTTGTAATTATTTGTGTTATGTTCCCTAGCACAAAGTAAATTTTCTTTGTTCTTTCGACATCAAGTTGTGCTGTTAATTTGCTAATTGGCTAACTAGCACCTTGAATTTGTCCTGTCAATCTTCCGGTTTCCCTTTTTGAATGACAAATATAGACTACAGCCGCCTGATGGTATGGATAGTTATTTTCTCTCCCGCAGGCGTGCTAGTTGGCCATTGGCAACAGTCTTTGCAGTGGGTTCAGTCCAACTTTTTGGCCAAGAAAATAGGGACATGAGGCGACACAACAGTCTGCCGTAGTTGCCACCAGTTCGTTGATGTCAGTTTGGTGTGTCCGGGCCTTGAAAGGCTGTGGTGTGCTCAATTTTTAAGCCAGTGCAGAGGTATCTTATGAAAGTTGACAACCTAAGGCATTCATTGGTACCAACCATGTCGCCATAGCTCATGGGAAGGGGGTACATAATGCTAAAAACTGAGGCTAAATTTTGGTGAGGGAACAACTGATTTGGCCATATTCAAAGGGGTCCCTTAAACTCTCACTTCAAGATATCTGAATGAAAATGAATTCTATGGGGTGCCCAGTAGCTCAGTGAGTAGAGCGGGCAACCAATGTGCAAAGGCAGTATCCTTGCTGCAGTAGCCACAGGTTCGATTCCAACCTAAGGTTTGTTTTCAACTTACAACTGTTTGCTGCACATCAGGTAATTAGTAATATTAAATATAAAGTAAGAAACCAAAGTATATCAGTCAGTGATTCCTTAATGCTCACGTTGACATAGTTTTAAAATAACCTAACCTCAATAGCAGAGAAGAACAGAATTACTAAAATTCAGTTATGGCTTTTGGGTTTGGTGTACCACCCCACTATTTTCAGTGCCCCCATCTGGCCATCCCTATGAAAAATTCCTGGGGACGCCACTGAAAACAAGGTAAGTGGTCCAACAGTAATCAGACTGTGGAGCCACGCCAAACTAAAACAGTGATTATCATAAAGAAACTCTTCAGTTTCAGCAGTTAATGGTAGATGTAGCTTACATGTTGATATGCGAGTAGCAGGCCCTTCCAGAAACATCCGATCTGCCAGGCCCCTCTGTGGAGACGACGCCACTGCAGAAGGGAAATAGAAGTTTACCTGACATATCCTACATGTGTCAATCACAGACAAATCATCCGTTTACTTCAACATGCACATGCAACTATTTAATATTTCCTGAAAGCATACAGTATGAGTTTGCTAGCTGTGTGACAAGCTCAACTGGATCACTCACCGTACGGCTGGCTTCTGCATCCTCGTACAATCTTCACTGTCTTGGCAATCATGCGCTGTTAGAACAGGAGGAAAAGAAAACATTTTAAGTTAAATGCCTCGCCAAGATTTGTGATGAGAACAATTGAGTCAAGCAATGTTGCAAAAACATTTTCCTTCTTACCACTTTCTCAAAATTGACCAATTTGTCTACGTAGTTTGGATTTCCCTCATTGATGAAGGTCATGTCTGGGCACAGGCAGGAACAGAAAACACATCAGTGATAAGTGGATTACTTTACATGACTTTCTAGGGCTGTATATGAGACACTGCTGATATGTATCACCTTTGAGCAGCAGAGGCATGAAGGGGATATAGGGAGGACTGAGTTTGGCCACAGCCAGTCTGTAGGCCCTGTGGTTGCGTGAAGGATCCTAACAGGAGCAGAAAGTAAACAGAGCACAATTATATTACGTCAGTGTGCAGAATTAATGTACTAAACATTGAGAGCATTGAAACATTTATAAATGTACTGAAATGAAAGCATGAAGTGTAACTTACCATCAACCTCTCATAAGCACAGTAAATTCTTTTTGTCTTGCTGGGTATTCTCTGGAATAAATGATAACATATGTCGCTCAGTAAACAGTGACACTGATATTATCATCATCAGTGTTGCATTCAGGGGTTTCTCACCTCCCAGGTCTTGTAGAGCCTGTGTACTGCACTGTTGCTCAAACCAAACATCACAGCAAAGAATGAATTCAGATTCTTCTGCTCCTTTAATCTGTGACAGAGAGGACACATTTATAAACAGTTAGGTCTCAGTGTGACAGTGTGCCGTTCTTGAGGTGACATTTGCAGGTTTCAAAGATAAGTTTTATGCAAACAAGACTGTTTGCAGCCACGCTGGTGGCTTTGTGAAGGGGAGTGCTTTGAGCTTAATTCTCAAACATCAGCATGCTAACATGGTCCCAGTGACAAAACTGGAATGCTGATTAAGCAAAAGTTTGGTGTGTTAGCATCAGGGCTGGAAATTTTTGTCCATCTGCCACTGTGGCTAGTGGACTCCAAAATCTACCAGCCTCTCAATAGATAACCATTGTTTTTTGGCTGGTGAGTAAAGAAAATCTAGCAGCCACTTTCATATTTTACCAGTGTTTAGCTAGTGGCTGGTGCTAATTTCCCACCCTGGTTAGCATGCTAACATAGCAACACAGTCTCACAGTAATACACAAAATGGACACTGCCTCATAACAATGTATTACGTGGTGGTGGGCACAAAATGTGTTAAAATTACATGCTGACAATGAAAACAATGCCAATGCAAAGTCTAATACGAACGGCTGCAGTGTCTTTGTGAAATTGTCAGTTTGGTCAGGTTTACAGACAGAAAAACACTTGGTTAAGTTTGTGGTTTTGATAAAAATAATCGTGCCCAGGACATAAGTGACATAAATTTACATACAGTAGGCTACTTTGTGTAGTTACGTAACGTATCCACGAAAAGTACTTTACATTGTCAACTGTTTTGGTTTCCTACGGGACCTTAACAGCGGTCTCCTTGTTGACAATCCATGTTGTTTGACCCATCCACCATTCCTCCTGCCCACCCTATGTGCAATTTTTCGCTCTTTATATTTAATTTTTGTGTCCACCACAACAAAAGATCCTCATTTACTCTGCGTTAGCATTGTTTTCATGTTGCCAGTAATTTTGTAGTGTGTTTCTCTAATTCTGACCAAGTGTTTTTCTTTCCCTGAACCTAACTAAACTGTGACCATTTCACAACGAAACTGTGACAGTTAGTAATAAATGTTGCATTGCCACTGTTTTCCTGTTGTCGACATGTACTTTCAACACATTTCATGCCCGCCACCATGTATGCATTGCAAAGAATTAGCTAGTTAGGACTGAACACAAAGTAAAGCTAAGGCTGATGGAAATGTCAATTAATTTTGCAGGTATTTGATCTTAAACTAAAGTATTGAACAAATTAATTTTGTGAGCAGATGGCATTGCTACTTGAGGAGCCAGGAGATCACCAAATAGTGATTGCAGTCCATCCTATAGGGAACATGCATGTCTGTACCAAATATGGTGGCAAAGGATGCAATTCTTGTTGAGACTTAAAAAGCACATGTCAACCTCATGGTGGCGCTAAAGGAAAGGTCAGGGGATCACCAAAGTCTTTAGGATTAATCCTTGGGAAACTATGAATGTTTGTACAAATTTTCTCACAATCCATCCAGTATATGTTGAGATATTTCACTGTGGACCAAGGTGGTGGCCTGACTGACCTACATTGCCATCAACACATAGCTAAGGTTTTAACTGATTCTCTTACACTGCAGCAATCTTTATGAACTTCTTGAGCAGGATGGCTCGTTTCACCAGGTCCTCACAGAGGCACAGCTCCGTCACCACCCAGTACTGCACCTCGTTGAAGCGACGCACGAACCGCTCCAGGTTAGCTGTGATGGCACCTGGGAACTTAT